CACTTCAGAGTATCTGTGTATTTCACTAGTATATCTGTCTCTGTTTTGACTCCTCAGACAGCTCCATGGTGGTCAGGGTACGGAGAAGTACATGTAGTGTCCTCTCCCCCCCACCTGATAATTTTTAGAGCTTACCCAGTGTCCCATCTATGGCACCCAGCATCCAGAAGTCTAGTGTGCTTAGTGGCTTTGGGAAGAGGTTTGGAGTACATCTCCTGTCAAGTCCCTTGACCCTGAATGTCCTTACTTCCAGGAACATCAGTGGGTTCTAAGCTGCCAGTAGGAATGTTGTATGTTTATTTGGGTGACCATAGCTGCTAGATGGCAGAAGATACCTTAGCCTGCACATCACTTTCCCTTTTGAGGGGACCCTGGATTGACCGGGGAGGAGCCACTCTGGGGAGGGAGATATATGTTGATTGAAGTTTGCATGTTTTTGAGAATGACATCATGGGAGCTGTGATCAGGGACCCCATGTTTGGTGCCTTAGCTGGTGTTATGTGCTCCTATGGGAAGGGGGCCCGTGTGGGAACAGAGTGAGCTAGGGGAAGTTCTACCCTCCCTCTATTGTGGAGACCTGCTTCTCCTGGGCTTCCCAGCATCTCTCGCTACAAGTCCAGTATTATGAACTCCGTTTGAGTCCAGTACCTACCTTACATTTCCAGTTCTGTATGTTCCTAGGGTGTATGACCTGGCTCTAGGCCCTCTTTCTGGCCCTTTACTGGCAGCCCATACAGAGAAGTGTCGTCGTAGGAAGTTGTGGGATGGAGTTTTGGGAGTCATTCGGAAGATTTGAGCTACACTGGTCTCTTCTCTCCTGGCCAGAGTCTCTTAACACCTGATGAACTTCTACCTTGCTGTGAGCCACCTCCCCTGTGTCCTTTGGTGGTCCTTCATCTGTCCCTTGACTGTCTTGTATCTTCTACATGTAAGATTTGAAGCTGGTGAGATGAGGAGACCCCACAGATGGGAGTACTTGAGAGTACAGGTTCTTGCCTCCAGGTGGAAGGGGGCTGATTTACATGATGCTGGCCTGGTGTCTGTGTGGTGGTGGCAGGTATGGGTTTATTGGGTACCCAGGGAGGTTGTGCCTCAGCTTATAAGTGCTCACTTGTGTGACAGGTTCTGCATGGTTGTGGTTATGCCAGGGTGAGCATGGATGCATAGGTCGATTCACAGACCTCCCTCTGCCCCCAGCTTCCTGTGATCTGGTAGAGGACCAGCCCATCATACTTTCAGCTTCAGTCCATGCTGGGCCATACAGTCCCGTCTCCTCCTGCTTGCTCTGACGTCCTGATGTGAGCGGAACTTGAAGGGTGTGAGGTCCCCACGAGGGAGACTAGATAGTGTGTCCAGAACACACAGGGTATGCAGGGCTGATCTCTGGGTGGGACTGTGCCTTGCTATTTATATCCCTGTGTCCCCAGAGCTCCTGTCCTGTCAGACACTGCGGAGAGGCATAGTGTGGCTGTGTTCTCAGCTGTCTGTGCTGCCCCAGAATTCTCTGCAGAGGACCAGTCATCATAGTCCTCTTCCTACCTCATCTCTGGGGAGGCTAAGGACCACGAATTAGGAAAACCAGGAACACCAGGGGAACATGGAGCATCTGGGTGAATACTGGCAAGGGAATCTGATTAGAACAAAGCCGCTTTGGGTTGTGGGCCCTAACAAAGGTTTCTCCCTCTGCTTTGGTTTTTGTGTCTGTAATCAGATGCCACGGTTTTTTTTTTTAGGGGAGCCTGCTTAAATTCAGGGCAGGGCACTTTGTGTTCCTTTGTTCCCTGACCCCTGATGACCTTGATTATTGGAGTCTGTGACTAGGACCTGGGTCAGGTGTATCCTGAGACAGAAAGGACCTAGTGAGCACCAGGGAACTGCGTCAGCCTTTTCTGCGCAGGTGCCACCCGGATTGGTGGTAAAGCCATGGTCTGAACTAGCTCATAGGGTAGGAGGTGTGTGGGGGCGTGTCCGGAAGGCCGGCATAATCCATTGGGATTTGAGGAATTTGAAATTCAAAGCTCCTGTCAAAACAAAACAAAACAAACCTTGGTGTGTAAGTGCGTCCTCTCTCAAAGAGGGCTTTGGTCTTTAATGGGGCCAATCTGTCCGTGGAGTTACTGGCTTTTAAGATAGTTGTCCCCAGAAGTATCACACACACACGGTTTGTGAAACCTGAAAGGGGACATAATGTAACTTGCTGTTCAGAGTTCTTTTTACCTGGTAGCTGCCTTGGAAATGTCCCAGTAAAGGATCCTCGCCCTGCCCCCAGTTGTCGCCACGCTGTGCTGCTAGCCCAGGATATGCTCAGGGGCCATGGCTCTGGTCCCAGACACCAGCGCAGGGGACTCAAGCCCATCACATCAGGATTCGGTCCTTGGTCCCAGGCAGCCCTTTCTGTCTTCTGAGGTTCTGTGTCTTGGTCGTACTGCCAAGAGGGGATTGCCCACCAGAAGTGCCTTTGGTTGGGTTCCTTCCTTTTTCGAGGATGCTCCCTTTCTGCAGACTTCTGGCTGCAGTACCTTGGGATCCCTGCGTATCCCTCAGGGGATGCCCGCCTATGTCCTCTGTGACTGAACAAATGTCTACATCCTTGGGCATCTGGAACATGACATATCCAGGCCATGGGCCCAAGCCTTGGTACTCTGTGTTCAGGAACCAAAGTCCCTGAGGTGTGTTCTCCTCTCATCCCAGGGGCCACGAGATTACACTGGTTACTGGACCTGCCTGTCCAGGGCCTTGAATTGACTCTGGACACGAAGCAGCAGCAGAACTGAGGATCCTACCCAAAGAGGGTAGCTATAAGGGCTAGGTACCAAATGTACCAAGCTAGAAACTCCCTTACAGGATACCAGTATCGGCCACACTGTGGGGCCTCACCTGTTGGCATCACCTTGCCCCCCTTTCTCTCTCCCTCTCCTCTCTCTCTCTCTCCTCTCTCTCCCTCTCCTTTCTCTCTCCCTCTCCTCTCTCTCTCTCTCCTCTCTCTCCCTCTCTCTCTCTCTCTCTCTCTCTCTCTCTCTCTCCCTCCCTCCCTCCCTCCCTCTCCTCTCTCTCTCCCTCTCTCCTCTCTCTCTCCCTCTCTCTCTGCCTTTCTCTCCCTCTCTGCCCCTCTTTTCTCTTCCCCCTCTCTTTTCTCTTCCCCCTTCTCTTTTCTCTTTCCCCCTCTCTCTTTTCTCTTTCCCCTCTCTCTCTCCGTCTCCTTCTTTCTCTCCCTGTCTCCTCTCTCTCCCTGTCGCCTTTCTCTCTCCCTCTCTCCTCCCTCCTCTCTTCTCTCTCCTCTCTTTTCTCTCGTCTCTCTCCTCTCTCTTTTCTCTCTCCCCTTTCTCCTCTCTCTCTCTCTGTCTCTTGTTCTTGATTTTTTTCTGTCCCCATCTTACCCCGCCCTCTTGTTCCTACTCTCCTAGACCCCTGAGGCTTCTCATGGTAGCTCTTTGATTGATTTTCCCATATTATTCCCATAAGGTGCTTGAGCCATGGCCCCTGGACCATGATAAGGTACTAGGACTCCAGAGAAGTGCTGCCCATCTTCTCCCATGAGGCCCTCCTCTGTGGGACCCTTCTCCCATGAGGATCTGCCTTTTGTGCAACCCTCTTCCTGTGGTGACCTCTCTGTGTGGTCCAACTTGGCCTGGGTTTGTTAAGTGACTACATCCTGGGTACCTGGGTTGCTCAGCCTTGTTCTGAACTCCCAGAGGTATCGATAAGGCCATATGCTGTTGGGAGCAGTGAGACCCCAGATCCTGAATTTCTTGTAAACAACTTGTTTTCCCCTGATCTGAGTGCCTACAGCTGCTCTGAGCACAAGACCTTCAGGAGTTCCTGATGGCAGGAGAGTGGTTTCTGGTGGGTTTGGCTGAGGGTGTAGCTATCTCTATATAAGCTTCCCCTGAACACAATAAAGGGAGCATTCTTGGGGAATTCAGGGATGACCTGTGTCTCTCTGTCTGTGTGTGTCTGTGTATTTTAACCTCCAGCCCCCTTGCCTGAAGCTCGCGAACTGGGTGCCAGTGCACAGAGTGCAGACATGGGGGCACGGTGTGCAACAATATGCCAGTATACGTATCAGTTCCTTCTCATATGTGGAAACTGAGGCAGAGAGGATCAGTCTAGGAACTTGGCAGCATGAAGCATGTCCTGTGTGCCAAAGGCTGAGGAGTTCCTTGGAGGCACATCTCTTCCAGGACCCTGATAGGGAAGAGATTAGAAAACAGAGTCCTGTACCTACTGACTTGGCCACTCCCCGACTCAGGGCCTGAATGGCCTGGGATTGGCTGTGCTGAGGTGTTGGGGCTGGAGAGCTGTGGTTCAGGACAGATGTCCTTCCCAGCGTCATGTTGAGCTATTCAGGTGGACCCTGGGAGTAGATGGGGTGGACAACGTTAGGGTCAAAGGTCAGAAACAGAGAAAGATACTCCCTAATGTTGACATCCTGCCACCTGAGGACCCAGGCAGGCTTGTTTGTGGGTGCTCTGAGAAGGCTAACTGTGAGGCCATGCCTGCCTCTTGAGCTGTGAATCCCAGCTGTCTTGTGGCTGGATCCTGAGCAGCCACTGTTCTCTGCAGTTTGGGTGATACCTCTCCTGTCCCCTACATAGGGAACATTGAACCTGGAAGCCAATGTTCAGCCCAGGGCTTTCAGGTCCCATAACAAAGTATGAGGAGACCTTCTGAAATGGCGGGGTGCGCATAGAGGGCCAACAGGTGCTCCTCAACCAAGGGACCAGCCCTACTATGGGGAGTAGACTTTCAGTCCTCAGTAGGCAATGTGAACAAATGGGCTGATGTTTCATTTTAAACCAAATTACCTGTGCTGGGGACACACAGACTCTTGCAGGACGTGGACGTGTGGGCAGAAAGAAAACTTAGACAAAGTGTCTTTAGCCAAGGCCACAGATAGGGACTGGTGGTCATGGGAGTGAGGTACCTGGTGCCTGCTCCCCAGAGCTGCATGCTTGGCTTTTGTCACTTCCTCCTGAGACTGACCTAGCTATCTTCCACAGGAGATGGAAACCCCAGGGAAAACAGCCCATTCATCAATAATGTGGAGGTGGAAAGAGAGAGCTACTTTGAGGGGAAGAACATGGCACTTTTCGAGGTAATTTTGTTTTAGTTTCTACACAAAGAAGTGACTTTCATGTGGAAAAGTAAAGGAGCAGTCATCTCCCGCATCCTACGCAAGGCATCTTCGGCCCTGATGACAGAGCAAGATGCTTCTGTCTGAGATCCACTGAGCTTATCTGTCCCTGATAAGTGAGCTGCAGCTTGGGCAGGTGCATTCCCTATAATTCCTGAAGCCTTGGGGAGTCTCTCAGAACCCCTCTGAATCCAGACCTGCCGAGCAGGTGTCTCAGGGTGCACAGATTGGGGGGCTTCCACGCATCTTGACTCTGGCTCTGAGGCTCCACATAGTCCTGGAATAGAGGTATATGCTGGGACCGTTACCTGCTGCCCTGGGATGCTGATGGAACCTGGTTCCTACCTCTCTGATGTTTTGTACCCATTAGGAAGAGATGGACAGCAACCCCATGGTGTCATCGCTGCTGAACAAACTGGCCAACTATACCAACCTGAGCCAGGGTGTGGTGGAGCATGAGGAAGATGAGGACAGCCGGAGGCGGGAGATCAAGGTACCCGTGCTGCCCTGTGTGGACAGCAGCCTCGAAACTTTCTGGTCGGAGAACACCCTTGCCAGGCTTCCACAACACACCCATCCTCCTCCTTCATTCTTCATCTTTCTGGTACTGTGTCTCAGTGGATACTTCCAATGCCCTGTGCTTCTGGGAGACCCACAGACCTGGGTGAGAAGAAACAAGGTCCTAGCGGTCCTGTGCAGACTGCCCTGCCCACTCTGAGTAGGTGTCTGTGGGGCCACAAACTCCAGGGAGTACAAGAGTGGCGCTAAGTCCTGCCTGAGATCTGGCGGGGTACTGACGTTCTGTTTCATTTGATTTATTATTTGGTTGTGCTGTGCATGTGTTTGTTTTTTGAGACAGCCTCACTCTATAACCCAGGCTTCCCTGGAACTCACTATGTTGCCCAAAGTTGGATTTGAACTCACAATCGTCCTCCTGCCTCAGCTTCTAGGTATTGGGATTACAGGTGTGTGCCACTATGTCTAGTTTAGAGCCATCACTAAAGACTTTGACTTTTATTCCCTTTTCTTCTACCTCCCTCCCCTTTTTTCTGCCTCCCAAAGGCCCCTGTTTTCTCTGGAGGGAGCAGTCCAGTGCTGGTGAACACAAATGAAGGTGTTCATTTGTGTAACACCTGCCAAGTCAGGTGACAGCCAGCTCATCTGCCCTCCACCTCTCCCTTCCTCTGTGTCCACCCTTTGTGCCACATCCAGCTGTTTCCTGGGTGTTTCCCATGAGCCGGTGCCCAGCCTGACGGTGGCTCCAGGGAAGTCAGACCACAGAGTGGCCTTAGCCTCCGCCTTTCCCTCCTGGTGTGAGCCCAGCAGAGTTAGTACTGTGTTGCAGGTCTTCACAACGTTCAGTGCTTTTGAAACTGGTTGGATCTGGGGCCTTGTGGTCTTTGGGGACAGGGTTAACAAGGTTAACAAGGGCATGAACTGTCTTCCTGCCTTCCTCAGATGTGTTCTTTGGTCCATGCCTCTTCCTGCCCCTTCCCAGGTCCTCTGATCAAAGTCACAGCTTCCCAGACACACTGAATGAGAATTTAGGCACTGCATGTAGACGGAAGTTTCTGTCCCTCCCAGTCCCACAGTCATTTAGTCCCAAAGAAATACACAGTCTTATGTTAATCATAAACTCTTTGGCCTGTTAGCTCAGGTTTATTATTAACTAGCTCTTACAACTTAAATTACCTCATAATTCCTATCTGCATTTAGCCATGTGGCTTGGTACCTTTTCTCAGTAAGGCCTTCTCATCTTGCTTCCTCTGCATCTGGCTCGTGACTGGGTCTGCGCCTTTCCTTTTCCCAGAATTCTCTGTCCATCTCTTTTGTCTGCTGAAATTTGTGTCCAAGGAAAACTCGGCCTGTGCCGGTGATAGATACTGGTCTGACTGAATCTTAGAACTGAGGGTCAACTCTGCTCAACCAAGGCACTGCTCAAATTGATCCCATAGTTTAGTTCTTATTACCCACGAGTGAAACCCAGTAGGCTTGGCTGCCACTCCCCCCTCCCAGGGCTCCTTGAAAACAGAGCAGTCATATTTGGGGAGATTGTACTTAGTATATTTTACCCCAGCCCAACGTATGGCAACTCTTTGGTCAGTGTTTCCCCTGGGGACATGGCTCCTGGACTGGGTTTCAGTTGATAAAGTATTCGGTCCTCAGCAGAGGTGCTTATCTTGGTTGGACGTGAACAGCTGCCCTACTTGGGGATCCATTGGGTTGACGGGACAGGAGGAGTAGAGCCTGACTCTGGTGTCTCCTTTGATGTCACAGAAGCGTGTCCCCAGAGACAGGCATCACTTTTCATTGCTCTGTCCTCTGGGCTACAAACAGGTTCAATGCATCTGAACAAAACTAAGCATTCAGAGTTGGCCGTTCCCTTTAGAGACATCTGGGACCCCAAGGCACTAGGATCCTGGGGAGACAGCTAGCTTCAGAGCCTGTGTCTCAGTGGGAGCTGAAGCAGAACCCTGTGACCTGGGCAGCTGCGTGTGCACTTTGAAGCTGCCCAGCAATGGCCTGTTTACAGGTTCTCTGCCATGCTTCTGTGGGCTGTCTCTAATGTCCACCTCACACTGTGACTTTTAATTCTTTTTCTCTTTTTCTCTTTCTTTCTTTCTCTTTCTTTCCTTCCTTCCTTCCTTCCTTCCTTCCTTCCTTCCTTCTTTCTTTCTTTCTTTCTTTCTTTCTTTCTTTCTTTCTTTCTTTCTTTCAATTTTGTTTTGCTTTTCAAGACAGAGTTTCTCTGTGTAGCTCTAACTGTCCTGGAACTTGCTTTGTAGACCAGGCTGGCCTTGAATTCACAGAGAACCAACTGTCTCTGCCTCCCGAGTGCTGGGATTTAAAGTTTTTGCTACCACCACCGCCCGGCTAATTCTTTAATTAAATTGTTTAAATTTAACTGGAAAATCTAACAGATGGTTTGGAGAGAGGGCTCAGCAGGTAAGAGTGATTGCTGCCCTTCCAGAACTCCTGTGTTGGGCAGTTCAGAACCACTAGTAATTGTGTTCCCAAGGGATCCAGTGCCCTCTTCTGCCCTCCATGGGTGCTTGCACTCACGTGCATGTACCAATGCATACGTACACACACACACACAACATAATTAAAGATAAAAATATTTATTTAAAAAAATTCCAAAGGCATTTCTCCATCTGCCAGCTTGCAGAATTCAAGCCCACAAAGACTTCTGTCCCCAGAATGCATGGTCCGCACCTCAAAGACAGGGAGGCCATGAGGTCAAGGCCTAGGTCTCCTTCATGTTATCTTTCTCTTCATTGTTGCCTGCTGCTGCCCACTGGCCTTGGGCTCAGGGCGAAGGCCTCCAGGCTTTCAAACCCAGAGCTTTCCACATATTCTCTGCTTTCCTGTGAGACCTCTGGTCTCAAGTTGGTAGAGCTCAGACTGCCCTGCTCTGGGGAGGCTCTCTGGGACGGCCCTGTGCAGGCCTGAGCTGCCATCCTACCCTCTCAGGTTGGTCAGTTTGTTCTCCTTGGAGTCTGTTCTCTGGCTAGGCACAACCATTCATACCACTCTTTAGCTGCTGGGCTCTCCCTGCCTGTTGTCAGGCTGTGTGACAGATGTCCTGTCAGGCATCTGTGTGAGCATCGCTCTGGGCTCTCCCTGCCTGTTCCCAGGCTGTGTGACGCCCTGTCAGGCTTCTATGTGAGCATTACTCTGTAACAGCCTTGTGACCATCACCCACAGGGAATGCACCAAGCCAATCCTCCATGGTCATTCTGTGCTCACCTACACCGAGATGAGCCTCCTTTGTGTTGGGGTCTGGCTTCTGAGCCATTGTGTCCTCAAATCTCCAGTCTGTTACCTGTTACGTTACTTGGAGAGCTCCTCTCTGGCCACCCCTCTTTCATGCCTCACGCTTCTGGGATCCAAGGCTCAGGCCCCTAGCTTGCCTCAGATCTGGCAGGGATCCTATCTTGCTGTTCAGATTCCCCCTCTGAATCTTCTCCCCAGTGGGAGAGCAGACCAGGAGGCTTGTCCCTGTGCTCTGCCTCGTGATTTTCCTCACTTCTGGCTCAGTGCCCTAGACAGCTGGGGTCTGCTCTAGGACCATGGAATCTCATCTTATTTCTGACATGGGTTTTTGTCAGGCATCTTTGCTATCCTGTCTCTTCACCATGTTCCTCCTGGTTCCTCTGTTCCTCCAAACCGAAGCATGGGTAGGGTTCGAGGCTGGTTTTAGTGGGTACAGGCTGTGGGAGACCCCTGACATGTTTCTCTCTGTTCCAGGCCCCACGCATGGGCACCTTCATTGGCGTCTACTTGCCCTGCCTGCAGAACATCTTGGGTGTTATCCTTTTCCTGCGCCTGACCTGGATTGTGGGGGCAGCTGGTGTGCTGGAGTCCTTCCTCATCGTGTCCATGTGCTGTACCTGTGTGAGTGTTCTCAGCTGGTCCTGCGGCAGTTCCTGAGGAGCTGGGACTGGGGCCCTGGGAGATTCTTGTTGGGGAATCAGGCTTGCCTTGTAGGCTCTTCTCTAGAAACCAGCTCCTGCAGAGAATGTGGGAAAGATGCTGGCCCCTCTAGTTTGGCAAAGGCCAGGTTCCCCACTAGTCTGAGGACCTTATGTAGCTGTACTCTATAGGAGTGGCATTTCTGCATCTGGGGACACTTGGGCTGAAAGCCGAGTCAGGGGCAGGTGACTTTTCTGGTGAGAAGTATAAATTTGTTTTAGTTACGCAGGTGTCACTTGAAGGCACAAGGGTCCTTTCTGGAGGGAATCCAAATAATACGGTTGAATGGGAGCTCCTTTACCTCCCGGCCCAGGCCACCTGACCACTTGTTCTCTAGTAGCTTCTACTGTTGTGCCTATCCCAGGCTACCTACTGTCCTTTGACTGGCCATTTCTTCTGTCCCGACTGGTCAGTTTCCCCAACTCATTACTTCATGTGTCTGGTCCTGCCATGGCTCTCTGAGGGCATGTGCCTGTGCTTCCTGACTGGTAATTCCGTGAGGCCACTCCAGGCCTGTCCTCTGGTCACTCTGGGTGGGCACTTCAGGCTAATACCGCTCTTTGTGAGGCTATTGACACCCCTGACACCCACAAATAAACTTTCTGGAGCAGAGGGTGGTTCCTGGAAGCAAGGCGGATACAAGATGAGGTCCTCTATACCATGTTGAATTCTCATCTAAAAGTGTCCCCTTGTGCCTCATGGGTTAGTAGAGACAAAACTCTGGGACTCCTTAGAGGTCAGGCACCTGGGTAAAGCTCAGCTTTCAGGGCTGTGCTGGGCAGGGTATGGAGCCTGTATTTTCTTTTTCTTTTGGGAACATATTTTGGGTTTGGGTAGGGAAGGACCTGTCTTTCCTGCTCATTTAGCACCTCCTTTGAGGTCAGAAGTCTGCAGCCTCAGGCTCAGCATGTTGGAGAATCTTGGGGCACACGTTTCCTGAAAGAGCTTGTCTTTCTTTGCAGACAATGCTGACTGCCATCTCTATGAGTGCCATCGCGACCAACGGTGTAGTCCCAGGTGAGGATGCCAGCGCTTATGTCTCTTGAGTTAGTTTATTGATCTTTTCATCATGCAGGACGAGCTACGTGTGTAGGGTTGGTATCCCCTTCCCCAGACTCATGGTGACAATGACATTAACTGTTAGCATCAGGATAGCACTGGGGTATTGGGCTGCCCATGAAGAGAAGAGAGTGGCCCTGTCCCCAGAGGCCCTGGTGTAGACACACCCTCATTCCTGCCTGTCCTCTGTTAGAGAGGACAGAAACCACATCCTAGAGATGGGCACAAACCTCAGTGGAGGGCAGGTCATTCTGAAGCTACAGTTAGCGGTGACAGCTCCACCAAGCATTACTTGTCATATGCATAAAAGAGTTGGCAGGCCTATGCCAGTGTCTCTTGTAACCATCTGAAGGCACAGTAGATTTTTCTGAAGACAAATGAGGTACTGGACCTGCTTGTTTCAGGTCCTTCACATCATACCTTAGCTACCCTGCACCCGTGGGCAAGGTAGACGTGACTTTATTGCCCAAGGCTTCCTCCTGGGTCTATTTCTTTTTTCTTTTTTTTTTCTTTTAATTTATTAAAGATTTCTGTCTCTTCCCCACCTCCGCCTCCTGGGTCTATTTCGAAGGAAGACTAAAGCTACTTGTCCCTTCCTGGGGACACTTCTTTTTGAATGAATGCTCTATGTTCATAGTAAATGGTACTTCCTGACCCATGTTTTCCTTGGGCTATCTTTACAGCGGGCGGCTCATACTACATGATCTCCCGTTCACTGGGACCTGAGTTTGGAGGGGCTGTAGGCCTCTGCTTCTATCTGGGCACAACATTTGCAGGCGCCATGTACATCCTGGGTACCATCGAGATCTTCCTGGTGAGTTCGTCTATGAAAGTCTTCCTTACCCAGGCACTTTGCCTGTGAGCCCTTTTGTACTCTTCCCGCTGACTGTTCTCTACCTTGCTGCTCTGGACATCTGGACTCTCAATACTGCTCTCTGGGCTGAGGGTTTGGGTCCCTGATGGATGAGACCTCATAGTGTGCTGTCTTAGGAGCCATGGGCTTGTACAACTCCTTGACCAATGCTAGCTCTTGAAGACAGAGCAGGCTTGCACTCAAAGGAATTCCCCTGCATTGAAGTAGGACTTGTGCTCAGTGTCAGTGAGTTATATAGCCTAAGTGTCTGTAGTGTGCCCCCCAGGTACGGTATGGTCAGCCTTGGAGACAGTATGTCTTCTGTGACCCTTGAAGATGAAGGTTCCAGGTTGGAACAAGGCGATGGCTGAGGCTTGACCTATCTCACATCCCAGAAGCCTGGGGAATTCATTCTCTGTACCAGTTCTCTTCCAGTTGCTGTGATGAGCGATTACAAAAGCAACTTAAGGAAGGGTTTATCTTTCAGTTTGAGGATACTGTTCATCATGACCAGAAAATGGCCAGGGGCAGGTGGTCAAAGCAGCTGGTCTCATTGTTTCTGCAGCTAGGAAGAAGACAGAGACAAATCTTAGTGTTCAGATAGCCTTTTCCTGAGTTCAAAATCCCAACTGAGGGACTGGGAATACCTACTTTTAGGATGGGTCTTACCACCTTTAATTAAGATACCTCACTGGTATGGACAGAAGCTAATCTAATATGGATCACAGGTGTTCCCAGGGACTTTTCTCCTAGGTGATCTTAGATCCTGTCAATTGACAATATTAACCATTACTATAACCATCTCCATAGAGTTGGCTCTTTTCTTTGGTTCCCAGGTATCTCAGAGCCTGCAGGGAAGACATCCCATGCTAAGAAAGGCTTCCTGGAGTAAATGTATATATTCAAGTTTGGAGAGTCTGGGCTGGGACCTAGGAACATGTTCCCCTATAGGTCCTGGGTTGCAGACGAAGGGGGGTGCTCTAGACTGCCGTGCCCATTCCTAGGGTCTGGTTGGTCTCTAAGGTAGAGCAGCTTGAAGGACACAGTAGCTACTTGCTGGCTTTCTGGAGAGTGTGCTCAGCGGTCGGCTGGCATTAGTGAAGACAGAGGAGATGCCCTGGGTTCTGCTGAGGCTGTTGTCAGGAGTCCCTGACCCCTCCTTACAAGGGTTCACCCCTGCCTGTGAGTCAGGTTGGCCACTAAGAAGGTGGCCAACTTCCTAGACTGCTGGTTTTCATCTGGCTCTGGCAGTTTGAGGGAACTGGACAGGGAATGACTGCAGGCTGGCACCCTGGGTCCATCTTGGGTGAAACACAGGATTCTGTCTCAGTACTCCCAGTGCCCTCAGTCCTGACAGGCTTTCTTCGCTAGTGTCTGTCAGGGAAGGAGCAGGCTTTCTTTGCTAGTGCCAGGGAAGGAGCCAAGGTGAGGTCAAGGCTGGACGAGTCCCTGGCCAGGACCACCTCCTTCGCTGACCTGCCTTATTCCCGCAGACCTACATCTCTCCAAGTGCAGCCGTCTTCCAGGCAGAGTCAGCAGATGGTGAGGCGGCGGCGCTGCTGAACAACATGCGTGTGTATGGCAGCTGCGCGCTGGCGCTGATGGCAGTCGTGGTCTTCGTGGGCGTCAAATACGTCAACAAACTGGCGTTGGTCTTCTTAGCCTGTGTTGTGCTTTCCATCATGGCCATCTATGCTGGGGTCATCAAGACAGCCTTCGCCCCACCTGACATCCCGTGAGTCCCAGGCTGTGCAGGGCCGCCTTGATCTAATGCTGGGTTCATCTTGCAGTGTTTCTCCAGGGGCTGGGCTTGGACCTCCTGGTTTCCTCTCCTTTCAGACCCTCAGTTCTTTTCTAAGCAAGAGTATGGAGGTGGCCTTGATAGCCGCTCGTTCCTGGGCTTCAGTGTGGTTTTGAGAAACCTTGGAGTACAGGATGGTAACAGTGCCCATGCAGCTGGTTGTTGGTGCATCTGTGAGAACCCGTGCAGCTGGTTGTGGGTGCATCTGTGAGAACCCGTGCAGCTGGTTGTGGGTGCATCTGTGAGAACCCGTGCAGCTGGTTGTGGGTGCATCCGTGAGAACCCGTGCATCTGGTTCTGGGTGCATCCGTGAGAACCCGTGCAGCTGGCTCTGGGTGCATCCGTGAGAACCCGTGCAGCTGGCTCTGGGTGCATCCGTGAGAACCCGTGCAGCTGGCTCTGGGTGCATCTGTGAGAGCCCGTGCAGCTGGCTCTGGGTGCATCTGTGAGAACAGGAAGCTAATGAAGGTTGTCCACACCTCAGGGTAGCCAGTGGCCCTCTGGATAATGTATTAGTCCGTTTTTAGGTTGCTGTGAAAAGCAACATGATTACAAACAACCTATGGAAGAAAGAGGTTATTCTGGCCTGTGGTTCTGGAGGGATAAGAGTCCATCCTGGCGCGGAGAATAGGAAACAGAAATCCCATCTTCAGCCACAAACATGACGCAGAGAGTGTGAACTGAAAGTGAGGCAGGACTATGAACTCTCAAAGTCTGTCCCCAATAGCATAACTTCCTGAGCCTCCCCAGACAGCGCCACCAACTGGGGACCAAGTGTTAAATGTCTGAACCTATGGGAGACATTCTCATTCAAACCCCCACAGTGGTTTTTCCAGTGTGGCCCATCCTTATCCCATGAGACCTGGCTTCCTCATCTTCATAGAAACCCCTCCGATGGGCTGGCTCTTGTCCTCTTGTGGAATTGAGGAGGTTTAACCAAGGTGACCAGGGTAATAGCAAGCGAGTGAGTGTGAACCAAGCCAGGGGTGAGGTGGTTGTTTGGGCATGGACTGACCAAAGCTGCCATGGTCCTTGATAGGGAAGACAGGAGCCCAGGATGCAATGAAACCCCCAGAGCTGTGGGTTTGCCATCTTTGTGGAGGATATGACCACCTTCCTTCCGGAAAGAGTTGCCCCAGGCAGGAGGAAGGCAGCCCTGATTAGTTGAGGGCTTGTGTGAGAGATCAGTCCCTAAACTGTTGGAATCTGGCTTGATGCTTGCTCCTGACATGTGGCCCCTGCAGTAACATGGGAGGCGTTGAGCCTCCCACTGAGTCGGCCGAGAAGAGTGGTAAAATGGATCTCTATCCTCTCCCTGCTCCAGGGTCTGTCTGCTTGGGAACCGCACGCTGGCAAAACGCAGCTTTGAGACCTGTGCCAAAACGCAGGTTGTCAGCAACGGCACAGTGACCACTGCACTCTGGCGCCTCTTCTGCAATGGCTCTAGCCTGAGTGCCACCTGTGACGAGTACTTTGTACAGAATAATGTCACTGAGATCCAGGGCATCCCTGGAGTGGCCAGCGGTGTCTTCCTGGGTAAGTCTGGTGGGGAAGGCTGTGACCACTGCCCTGGGTTATTTGGGACTACTCTTAGGGCCCTGGTTCCGCTTGTATAGACAAATCCTTGGAGTTCTGTCCAGCCAAACTCTAGACTGAAATGGCCTTCTTCAGCTGCTACAAACCAGCTGGGTAAGGCCAAGCAGGCACTCAATCTTTGTTTGAGATAAATACTCACTCTACAGCCCAGCGTGGCCTGGAAATTGCAATGTATCCGTGATTGGCCTAGAACCCTGATGACAAGGATGGACTGGTACCATCCCTGTCATCCCCTTCCACATGCTGGGGTAACAAATAGGGGGCAGATTCATCTTGGTGTGAAGGAACTGTTCCTGGAGAGCCTGAACACTTGGTCCTAGTATCTGCCCTCTGTGAGGTTGGGGTTCTGTGCGCTTCCCCAGTGGTATGGTGTGATGTCAGTAGGTAGCTGAGGGTTGTGTCTGGGTGAGGGATGAGGAGCACAGGGATCCCTCACTCACTGGGCCTCCTGGAATCTCTGAGGTAAGCCCTCCGGAGGAAGCAGCTCCCAAGAGATCTCAAGGGAAGCGTCAAGTGCACAGGGATGGAAGGCCAGTTATGGAGAGGTCCCTATGGGGTGTTCACAGTCGGTGCAAGACTGCAACTGGGCCAGGCTGGAATGCAGTGGAGGGTGAAGGCGGCCACGTTTCTTGGATTATTGGAGGAACTAATACGATTACAGCTTTGTGTTGCTGCCTTGCTGGTGGGTGCCCAGCAGGGAGGCCACTAAAACTGTGGGCAGCTGTTTAAGAGCATGTAGGTGCTGTGTGCAGGGATCCCCTAGTGCTGAAACCTTGTGTTGAGGTTGGTGGGTTGAGGGGGGGAGTAGCTTCTTGCCCTTGGTCCTTGCAAGCTGAGTGTCTTTGATTGAAATCAGAGCCACGAAAGAGTGAGAACCACCTGCGGTTGTGAGTGGTGAGGCTGGGCACACAGTCCCGGTGAGTATTCCCAGCAGAAGGTGGAAGGATTCTGTTAGGAGGTCTACTAGTCCAGCCTGTTCTCCTTACAGACAACCTGTGGAGCACATATTCGGACAAGGGGGCATTTGTGGAAAAGAAGGGTGTGTCCTCAGTACCCGTGTCTGAGGAGAGCCGGCCTGGCGCGTTGCCATACGTCCTCACGGACATCATGACCTACTTCACCATGCTAGTTGGCATCTACTTCCCCTCCGTAACAGGTGAGGCTCCCCGCCTCCCTGCCTCCCCTGCCTCTCTGTGTCTGTTTCTCTGTGTATTCCCCCATGAATATCTTCCTTTGACTCTGTCTTTATGGCTGTTGCTGTCTCTGTCTCTTGGTAAGTCTCTGTTTTCTACTCTCTGTGTGTACGTCTCTCTGTCTGTCTTTCTGTCCTCAGAGACCGTCTTCCCAACAAGCAGTGGTAATATTGGTCTGTCGTTCCCGACCTACAGATGGGTTGTGCTGTAGGTGACATCCTCTAGGTTTTCAGTCACTGTCTCTCCTGTCTGTTCTGCAGGGATCATGGCAGGATCCAACCGCTCTGGGGACCTCAAAGACGCCCAGAAGTCCATCCCAACAGGGACCATTCTGGCCATCGTGACCACGTCTTTCATTTGTATCCTTAAAGGGGCCCTGCTGCCCTTGTTCAAGCCCTTCACTCACATTCTCATTGTACCCATCTGTGGTGCACTTTCCAGGTTTAGGGCCTGACCACGGCCTGCCCTGCTTGTAGCTCTGGCAGCCCGATGTGATGTGCCGTACTAAAACATGGCACCCGGATTCCTGTTCTCTTGGCGATCGTATTTGGAACATGTCCCTCCAAAAACCCAAGTGAGAACTAAGGGTTATAATTCAGTGGTAGAGTGCTTATCTAGCATGCTCAAGGCCCTGGCATCATATATCCAGTAATATCAAAGGAGAAAGAAATACAGCACACCATTGGATTGGTCTGGGACACTAGTTATACAGCCTTGATTGGGTGTAGTGTGGGATGTGGCATAAACACTGACCACAGTTGCTTTTGTGAAGCTGACATTCCAGGAGCCCAGTGTCCTCCCAGCAGGGTGGTCTGGCCACCAACCAAGGACTTTTTGAGTACCCTGAGGTTGCATTCTCTTTAGAGAGGACAGTGTCCAAAGGGCTGTGTGTGGAGGTGTGGGATACAACCCTGGGGACAGGGTATGGAGATATCTTACCACTAAGTCATCCTGGGTTCAGCCCCATGGGATAGGACCCACTGGCCAGTATGCAACTATGTGGAGCTTACCCTAGGACTGACCAGTCCTTGACTTCAGCTCAGATCTTTCCTGCATAGTGCTATTTGGGGCCTGCATCGAGGGTGTGGTCTTGCGAGATAAGTATGTTGGTTTTTTACTACATGAACTGACTCTAATTGGTATATTGTCTTTCCTGAGAGAGACTTCAGCTTTGAAACTCAGTTACCCTTGGCCTCACAATTGTGTGTGAGCTGAAAGCTCTTACTTAACCAGTCACGCTGCCTCTTGCCTGACTAAAGCATTGTGTGTCAGCCCCTTGAGCCTGATGAAGCTGGAGATGAGGAGTAGACAGGGGTGTGAGAATGAGAGAGATGGGACCCAGAGACCCCAGCCCTGCTGCTGGGTCAGTGGGACTTTAGTGTAGACTATGGTGGACCCTTCCTTCTTATGGTACAAGTTTGTCAGAATCTCAGGGCTTCAGGGGGTCTTACAAACTGTATGGTGAAGAAATATAGTAACCCCAGACCTAAATATGACCGATGCAGAAGTGGCAATAGCCAACACCATCTTGGTGTAAGCCAGGGCTTTCTGTTCTGAGAGGATTCCAGCAGAATGGTGTCAGACCCCCCAAAGCCCCTTCCGAGGGAAGCTGCCAAGCTGGTTGGGTCCTCCTACCTGGGTTGGGTTTTTTACCTCCCCTTCTCCCTGAGCCCAGAGGTTCACACTCAAATAGAGGACAGAGATTTTTTTTTTTTCTGTCTTCAGATCACTTTCTGGAAGCTCTACTGACCCCCTTCCCTGCTCACCCGTAGGTTTGGGGAGGCCCTGCAAGGGAACCTGGTCATTGGCATGCTGGCCTGGCCATCCCCCTGGGTCATCGTCATTGGCTCCTTCTTCTCCACCTGTGGTGCTGGCCTACAGAGCCTGACTGGGGCCCCCCGCTTGCTGCAGGCCATCGCCCGCGATGGCATCATCCCTTTCCTGCAGGTGAGCTGCGGCAGATGGTGCTGGCTGCCCTGAGAAGAGCCTTGAAAGGCCATGTTTGGGTGTGTAGGGTCCCTAAGAGTCCATCCTGCAGAGCCGAACCTATGGAATGAAGGAAGACAGGGGGACGTTGGTCCTGCCTTTGGACTCTACACTGGTCATCTCTCACACTAGCTACTGGGCTGAGGGTGCAGGGCAGAGGCCACCGAGCACTCTAAAGCCTTTTACTGGTGAGCCGTGTTTGTTCATGTGACCCTGTTGAGGCTCTGCCAAGGACGGTCCCACTGAAGTTAACCAGGGATTAGTATTCCTGAACCTGGCATCTGTAGCTGGGACTGCAGTTACTGGAGTGAACCTAGAGGTGCAGGATGTAATGAGATTCCTGGGACTATGACATCTCAAAGCATCATAACCCAATAACTTAAACCAAAAGAAGTTGTTTTCCAAAAATTCTGGAGGCTATAGAGTTCCAGTGAGGCCACTGACCACACAGAAGCGATCTGAAGATAGAAAACAAAACCAAACAAAAAAGAAAACCAACAAGCAAGCATGGAAGTCCAGGTGTGGCAGAGCTGTCCCCTGAGCCTGTCTGTGTGGCTGTTTAGTTTACTTTTGGGCCTGGCGTCATACAGCATAGTGACATGTGACAAAAGCTTGAAAGTCTCGAACACCTCACTTGTCAAGGACACTGCCTTGTCCACTTGTTCCGCTCACCCGTGGTTGGGTGTTCTCTTGCTCCAGCCCACCTACCTCTCTCCATACTGCAGGTGTTTGGCCATGGAAAGGCCAATGGGGAGCCCACGTGGGCCCTGCTGCTCACAGCCCTCATCTGTGAGACGGGCATTCTCATCGCCTCCCTGGACAGCGTGGCCCCCATCCTGTCCATGTGAGTAGCCTAAAGGACACCAGGGTGGAGAGTGTGAGGTGGCTACTGTCCCTTCCTGTGTGGACACAGGGTCAGGAATAAACATACAAGGTGGGCACAGAAGGCCAGGTGGCTGTGCTCTGGGTACACAACGTGGTTTTACAGAGAGCTGCTGTGGTAGGGGCAATGACTACTTTTCGGGTGTTTGGCCAGGGGCAGTAGGATGGGAGTTGTTTCTCAGCTGCTGTGTGGAGGCCCGTAGAGGAGGCACCAGCGTGTGAACAGGGAAGGTTTCCCTGGAAGATGAAGAGCAGGGTGTGGTGGGCCCTGGCTGGATACCACAGTGCTGCCTTGCGGGGGCAGCCATCTTACTGGGCCTTCCGCTCCAGGTTCTTCCTCATGTGCTACATGTTCGTGAATCTGGCCTGTGCTGTCCAGACCCTGCTGCGCACACCCAACTGGCGCCCACGTTTCAAGTTCTACCACTGGTAAGGCCTTCTGCATGGATGCCCTGAGGGACCCACAAACCTGAGCACATGCAATCTGTTCTGGAGGTCCCCCTATTGCTGGGCTTAAAACTGTTTTTGTGGAAGGAGCCCCAGTGAATTCCGTGAGGTAATGGTCCTGTCCTGGTCTCTGAACTTTAAGGAAGGTCTGACTCGTTCTTACACTCCTGGGCACACGTGGGATTCTTGTATCATTCTGGTCAATCAGAAATGTGCAGATCTTAGGACTGCCAGTCTGTTTTGGGGTGGGGTGCATAGATCCTGTTCTGTGTTCTGCATTGGCTGGGATGTCTTGTCCATCTCAGGAGGTAAACAGGCACTTGCTGTCCTCAAGTTGTCACAGTCCTGGGCCACAGCAGGGTGCCTGGAAGGAATTTCATATTTTAGGGATGACTGAGTGACAGGCCTGATTGCCAAGGGTTGAGGCTGATGTGCTGTTACAAGGAAGGCTTTCATGATGGGGAAGGTGCAGTTTGTGAAGCAGTTTCAGGTGCCAGTTAGGGGCTGTACTCTGTTCATTAGGACCCTCTCCTTCCTCGGGATGAGTCTCTGCCTCGCCCTGATGTTCATCTGCTCCTGGTACTACGCCCTCTTCGCAATGCTCATCGCTGGCTGCATCTACAAGTACATCGAGTACCGCGGGTGAGTGAGTGGCAGCCTCTCGCACGGCTGCGACTTCCCCACACTCCTCACACGGAACCAGGGCTTGACCTGCGCCCGGCCTGGGGGCGCGAATCTGGGTGCTGTTGATGAGGTCTCAGAGGTTAGACATCCTGTGAGATTTGGGGGTACTGTGTCATCCTCTGACCCCAGCCAGGCTGACTTGCTCAGGTATACGCTGATTTCCTGCCTGGGAGCCATTGTGCAAACAGCTGGGCAGGTTTTTTGTTTCGTTTTGTTTTCTGTTTTTAACGTCACGTGTGTGTGTGTGTGTGTGTGTGTGTGTGTGTGTGTATAAAAGATTTATTATTATGTATACAACATTCTGCCTCCATGTATGCCCGCACGCCAGAAGAGGGCGCCAGATCTCATTACAGATGGTTGTGAGCCTCCATGTGGTTGCTGGGAATTGAACTCAGGACCTCTAGAAGAGCAGACAGTGCTCTTAACCACTGAGCCATCTCTCCAGCCCACATCACATATTTTTAACGTTATACTTTATCAGTGGGTACATCTATGGCTGCATATAGCAGCTGTGACTGTTACAGTCTGTTTAAGGAATTTCACACTCTGTCAACCACAGCACTGATGTGACACCCATTGTAAGCTTTTACACACATGCACACACTCTGGACAAGGGTGGCGTGTGTCAGGAGCTACATGTCAGAGTTCCGTTCCCACAGAGTTTCCTTCGTCCTTCCCTGACTGTTTTGCCCCCACTCTGGGCCTTGAGACCGGTCTGGTGCAGGGCTTCCAAGTCATAGTCTTTACCCCCATTCTTCCCTCTGTCCCTGGTGGTCAGCGCCACAGAGGACGTCCATGCTACCCAGTAGCCCCTGCCTGTCTTGGGAAGCCCCTTCATGTCTCATGTCTTACAGAAACGGTGAATGCCCCAGCCAGGCAAACGTTGACCCTTTTCTCTACCCACACAGGGCTGAAAAGGAGTGGGGTGATGGCATCAGGGGCCTGTCACTGAATGCTGCCCGCTATGCCCTCCTGCGTGTGGAACACGGGCCCCCACATACCAAGAACTGGAGGTGAGTACATCCTACAGCCATAGTGCCAAGACAGCAGAACAGAGCAAAGACCTAACCTGTTCACGGTTAATGCTGTCTCAGAAGCTTTTGCTGTTGGCCCCTGGAGAGAGATCTGACAGGGGCATCGCTGTCTAAGAATGGGAGAATAGCCAGAGATGGGACCTGGACATAGGTAATAAGCCACCAGCAGTATGGATCGGAGGCACACTCCTCTCTAAGAGCGTTTTGTTTGCCCTAAGGCCCAACTGAGCACCCTTAGCTGGGACACAGGGCCTGTACCCGTCTCTCCCGTCCTTCCCACCTCACCTGCCCTACCCGTCCTGTGCTATCTGTGTCTGCTGTCCTTCCCGTCTCTATCCCATCTGGTTCGGTAAGCACTGGAACCCGGGCTGTGCGTTGCCGTTGTAACTCCTGTCCTTGCTTACCCTACCACAGGCCCCAGGTGCTGGTGATGCTGAACCTGGATTCTGAGCAGTGTGTGAAGCACCCCCGCCTGCTGTCCTTCACCTCGCAGCTGAAGGCTGGCAAGGGCCTGACCATCGTGGGTTCTGTGCTAGAGGGCACCTTCTTAGACAAGCATGTGGAGGCCCAGAGGGCTGAAGAGGTGGGCAAGGGGAGTGTCATGAATGACGTCAGGGTTCCAGCTACCTAGGAAGGGCTGAGCCGTGTCCTGCATCTCGAGGTTTAGGAGCCACGATGTGAACATGTGCTGTCACTTGTACCTGTCAAGGTGGCTGCTGAGTCTGAAATGGTCAGGCCTTGAAGAAAGGAGGTGTGTGTTCTCCTGGGATAGAGAGGAGCAGGGACAGCTCCTCCACTCAGTGTGCCTTAGAACTCAGGCACTAAGGGCCCCCGTGCCTAGCCTTGGCACTCTGCTCCCGGTGCCTGTTATAGCTGCGCTCCCATGCACCCCAGCTCCTTCTAGTGTGTAGAGACGGTGGGTAAAGGAGGCAGTGTGCTGCAGATGTCCTGATCCTGTGAATGAGGGGGATCGTGACTAGAACCTGCTTCTCTGGCATACTGACGCCGTCTCTGTAGCCTGCTGCCCACAGTTTGGTGGCTGTGTAACTCCCGGGATCCTGTGCACGCTTTTGCATTTCTCTGCTTGCAGACTTGCAACAGGAAATCTTCAGCCTAAGCAGAGGCGAGCAAGTAGAATCATCAGTCCCCTCATGTCTACCTCTAGCCTCTGCTGTCCCCATAAGACTTCCCTCCCCTTTTCTGTGACATCCTGTTCTGTCATCTATCTAGAACCCTTTCTGGTTGTCCACCTCCAGTGTCCAGCTTCCCAGATTGTCAGAAACCTTTTTACTCCTCTCTCCATTTTGTGGACCTGAACCCAGGGTTCCATCGTGGCTGCCATGTCTGGGTATCACCCTCTTCTCTGGAGGGGGGAGAGGTGATGAGCTTTTCTCTAATGGCCGTCCATATCTGGTCTTGCTTGTACATTCAGGCTTCCTGCCACCTGAGTGTCTGCAAGCTGCAGCCTAATTTCCGAGTTTAGGCTGTGCCAGGTGTAAGAGGTGTGATTGTGAGCATGGGTGGAAATGGCTGTTGGTGACCCTGGTCTGTAGTGACAATCTCGTGGCCTTTTCAGTGATGGCATTGCTTACCCAGGCAGCTTTTCAGGTCAGTCAGATTCAGCAAGTTCAAGGAGGACAGGAAAACCATGGATCCTTCTCTTGCCCCTCCAAAGAGGCCAGCAGTTGTCCATAAGCATGTATCTCCTTGGATCTAAACACTGGCGCCAGTTGACTGTAAACCCATGAATTGAAACATTGTAGCTATTGTCCTTAAGGAGGGTGTGTTCTGTCTTGTGAATTGAAACATTTTAGCTATTGTCATGAAGGATGGCCGTGTTGTCTTGTGAATTAAAACATTGTAGCTATCATCCTTAGGAATGGACAGTGTTCTGTCGCTAGTAACTAACCTGCAGCTGGTCCGAGAGGCATCCTGTTATGGGGAACGAGGTAGCTCTGTCTTGGAGGTGCTCTTGCTTTTATTCTGTGATAACTCACGGGCACAGAGTCCAATGTCTGCTATACGCACTGTCATGCACTGTGGAGGAAATCCCTGGAATTGAGACCACCAGTTGGGCATAAGGGTGTGCATGGGCTCCTATTATCTGTCTCACTGGCAACGGATGAGAAAAGGTATTTGTGTGGAAGTGATGGCTGCAAAGGACCCTCGGACCCCACTTTCAATCTCCATCCTGATAAGACATGAGACACACCCTTAGCTTTCTCACTTATGTCTAACAGCGTGATTCTCTTTTTTTTTTTTTTTTTTTTGTGCAGTGCTGGGGTGGGGGTGGGGAACCTGGGCCCCTATACATGTTAGACAGGTGCTCAGCCACTGAGCCATCCCTAATCCCTGGGTGGATGATTTTAGTCTCTAAGTGCTTCTAGGCAGAAGGTTATGAGAAAGGCTTTAGCTTTGGAATTAGTCATTTCTGTTGATCAGCAAAATCAAGAAGGAGCTGCCCAAGGGTCCATCTGTCTGTATGTCAGTATCTGGGCCCTGATTCACTTTTCTGATGGATCCCTGTCCTCCAATCAGACTGTTGTTGGCAGTATAAAAATAAGGACATTTTGGGAAAGCCTTTTTATAAATGATCAAAGCTTGTTTACATGGTTTCTCCTTATAAAAATTAATGTTACTTTCCCTTCTACTGCACCAATTGTGTGAGAAGGCTTGAGAGTTTGAGTCTATCCTTTCCTAACTGAGGTCCCATCTTCTCCTGTACGGTCACCCTGTCCACAGTCACCCTGACTTGTCTGTTACAATGCCGACCTGGGCTAGGTGCTTGCCTACTCAGGGCTCTGGCCTTTACAGCTTTAGTTAGGCTAGGCAGGAGCTTCTCTAGCAGTAAGATGAGAAGACCCAGCTCCAGCTCCTTGGGTCTGTAGCATGGGGAAAGCAACATTGCAGCCAGTGTCAGGGACACAGGTATCACAAAGCCAGAGCAGTGGTGTTTTGGTGCCCTGTGAAGGTCTCTGCTGTGACCTTTAGCCAGCTTCAGCCTGGAGGACAACAGAATGTCCCTGCCACGTGCCATTGTGCTGAGTCAGCCTCTTTAGCACTTCTCCTATGAAACCCCCATCCTGGGCACTGTCTTTTCCTTCCTGCTTAGGAGCAGCTGTGTCCCGTGACCACACCTCCTGCCTGGGCTGCCTCCCACTCCCTGGCATGTTCCCCTTTTAGGACAGTGTGTTTAGATTGTTCCCGAATTACGCAGAATTCTATAAGTGGAACATGTCTGTGTGAGCCTGGTCTGCCCTGGATGGGTGATGGGTGGTGAAGATGAACAGGAAGTAAGGGAGGAGGGAGAGGGATGCTGGGGAACCATGTGGAACTCTAGTGGAGGGCACTGTGGGGCTGACGTAGGTCCCTGAAATCAGGCAAAAGAAGTGCGTCATGTGACCAGTGGAGCAATCCCAGACTGGGTAAAGACTAAGACTGAGGTGTGGTCACGGTGGGCTCAAATATACTTCCTTCCTTTTCTGGCTCTGAGGCTCTAGGGCTTTCAGCCTCTGCCTCTGTCTCCACACAGCTGCCTGCCTTCTGCCTCAGGTCTCTCCACCTATCTTTTTAGGGTGACTTATTACTGGATTTTGGGTCCCATTGAACAGTCAGGATTATTCTGCAAGGACACCTTTTCCAAATAAGGCCACATTTCCCCCATCTTGGCTATAGCATGGTCCTAATGGGCATCTTTGGGAGCATCATTCACCCCTCCCCGGTCCTAGTTCCCCAAGAACATCTGTCTCCCATGCAAACTACGCTCATCTCATTACAGGGTACCCAAGTCTTGACTCTGACAGCATCAATGCTAAGTCTGAATCTCACTGGGGACTATGAAGAGGGACCCCTCCCTATGCCTACATGAAGTGTGGAAAATGTGTGCCTACAGAGATGTGGCCTTAGGTCTCCACATACATGTGAAGTCTGGTAGGGCTGTTCTAGCTGACACCCTGCACCCAAGGGGACCTAGTAGGCCGGACACTATAGATATGTAATGGCAGCATCCCTAGGGCTGTTGATGAGTGAACAGTGTGTCCTGAGTCACGGTGTCCACCCTCTCTATCGACCCCTAGCTGCTCTGGGGAGGGGGAGCTGTCCTGGTGGATGCCTGACAGAATAACAGAAGTGGAGACCGGCATTGTGGCTTGTCTGATAGTTCTTGCTGGAGCACTGGATTTGCTCAGAGGCTGTTAAAGTTGACCCATTACTATGAAGCATTTAAACATTTAATGATCATTGTATGATATGACCCCCACCCCCAATCCAAATAATAATGAGTGTTTGGTAAAGACAGAGATCATTTTAAGGCACTATCATATTTAATGCACTCTCTCAGGGTGGTGACCCACATTGACCCCCTGCACACAGCTGTGTCTCATGGTGCCAGGTTTATGTTGTCTCTCACACATATGTGCAGACACATATGTCTCTCACACATATGGCCGGCAGCTCCCAAGCACTCCTCAAAGTCTCCATCCCTAAACATCAGGCTGTGGCGTATGTGTAGAGCCCCCCTCACCGCAATGGTGACTGACAGGTGTCTTGACATCACATAGTGACACTCCCCTACAACTTCCACAGAACATCCGGTCTCTGATGGGTGCAGAGAAGACCAAAGGCTTCTGCCAACTGGTGGTGTCCTCCAACCTGCGAGATGGCGCATCTCACCTGATCCAGTCAGCTGGCCTCGGCGGCATGAAACACAACACTGTCCTCATGGGCTGGCCAGAGTCCTGGAAGCAGGCAGATAACCCTTTCTCCTGGAAGAACTTTGTGGGTGGGTGTGGCAACCATTTTCCACCAAGGTTCCACGACAGCCCCAGCCATGTTACTGTCATACCCAAGCCTGGCCAGAGAGTATATATGGGAACCTTTGAATGTGCTAGCCACAGTTAGTCCCTGGGAAAGCAAATGGCTACTTTATAATCTTTAATACTTTCTCCCCTAATACCCAAGCCCAATCTCCATTGGAAGTTTTCCTAGAATGTGGCACACAACCCTCTGGAGACCATGGAGTAGGTGGTGACATGGGAGTTGTTCCTTGGTGCCCTCCTGGGTAGATGACTTCATGGGACCCTGCCTACTTAGCTCGTGACAGTCTCCCCGCCACCCCGAGATCTCACCCGTGTTTGCCTCTCTCCACAGACACCGTCCGTGATACTACGGCAGCACACCAGGCATTGCTGGTGGCCAAAAACATTGACTTGTTCCCGCAGAACCAAGAGCGCTTCAGTGACGGGAACATTGACGTGTGGTGGATTGTGCATGACGGGGGCATGCTCATGCTGCTGCCCTTCCTGCTGCGCCAGCACAAGGTGTCTGCCGCAGGGACACAGGGCCACAGCTGGGCTACAGGGACACCACGGCGTGAAGGGTGTGGCCTTGGTTGAGTTCCTGCAGAAATGTCCCCTCACTTCCCCAGGTGTGGCGAAAGTGCCGGATGCGCATCTTCACTGTAGCCCAGGTGGATGACAACAGCATCCAGATGAAGAAGGACCTGCAGATGTTCCTCTACCACCTCAGGATCAGTGCCGAGGTGGAGGTGGTGGAGATGGTGCGTAGCCACCTGCATGCTCTCGGGTTACTGTGTGGTCTCCATCTTCAGTTGACAGCTGCTCTGGGGGACGAGGCCCATGGGGTACAGTCCCTAGGAGTGAGGCCTTCCCAGAGGTCTGGAGCCATTGGCTTTGTTTTGTCCATGAGTTCATAGTTTGATGGCTAGAATGATTTGTCCATCTGTGGGTAAATAGGGCCACGAGTGTGGGGCTAACAGGTAGAATAAAGTGATTGGGTTACAGCAGTAGATGCAATCTACTCTCTGAATGACTGAGGAATGAAGTGAATTCTAAGATGCCTACTCCAGCTGTGCCCGAGGACCCAAGGTTGTCCCTATGGACTGAGCAGCTCCATGGGGATGAACCGTGTACCCTTCGCTCCTCATTGCCTTCTGCTTTCTCTGAATGCCATGTTCTCAGTTGTGTGGTCTGGATGGCTTACTCTCTGATGGTCCATTTGATCATGGATGACAGCCAGTGCACATTGACCCTGTGGTCTGTGCATATTTGGTAGTAGTCCCAGAGAGGCCGTTTGGTGAAGGGTATTCCAGAAGGGCCCATTCTCTTTCCATGGCCATGTGGATTGCCATGTTAGGTAGAGGAAGCCACTACCCTCCGTGGTCCCATGGAGAAGTCGCAGGTCTAGGGCTGCAAAGCTTGCAAACTGCCTGCCTCTGGCTATGTCTCTTTAATCATGGATGAGGCCTGGCATCTCCCTGCATTATTGACGACCTCTTGCATTTTCTTGTCAGCTCCCAGGGAACCTTGTGGTACAGGGCTATGTTCTTCTCCCTCTGTAAGAGCTTTGTGTAAGTCAAGAGTGCAGGTTGGCTATCACTGGGTTTCGTGCTCTGGGCGCATTTAGACGTTTCTCAGCCATTTGGAATTGCAGACTCTCTCTGTGGCTTCTGATTGCAGCCTCCTCTGTAGATGGCTCTCTCGGTCTGGCTGCACCTAGAAGTCATAGAAACAGCATTGTTAGCAGTCAGCAACCATTGTTCGAGAGCCCTGGAAGGAAACAAGGTCTTGTGAGGCATCCCAGGGCTAGGCATGGAGACCAGCAACCAGGCCCTGACCTGGACCTGTGTCTGTGATGTATATGTATGAGGCTGCCCAACCCCTCCGTTTGTCTTGTTCCAGGAGTTAGTTTCTAGAGTTAACCTCCATTTCTGAATACAGAAGTCTGTGCCCTATAACTGGGAAACCCAGTCAGCTGACAAGTGGCTACCCTGAGTATAAGGTTTTGGGTGTTTAGGTAGGTAGGTCTATTCTGAGTCCCAACAGTCAAGATCCTCAAGTGCTTAGATGCTGCTGTCCCTTGGTTTGGTATATTTACCTACAAACTTAATAATTCTGTGAGGGGTCAACTTGTCTGAGAAGGAAGTGACACAGTTAGGTGGGAGCATGTGTCCCTTGAGACCACAGCTCCCCCAGACAAGCCAGGAATGCTGTGCCCAGAACCCTGAGCAGCTGTATGCTTGGTTAGTATGAGATGCAGCAGCAGCAGCAGCATCGCCTGTGTGGTAGTGCTACCGAGTCCCCAGGAGGGATGAGGTAGCTGTAATTTCTCCATGCTTCCCTCCGTCGTCACACATACTCACACCTTCCCCGGCTGCTCTGGGACAGTGCTGTGTCACTCACTCAAGACCAAGGATGTGTGGCCACTGCTTGCTTTGGTCTGCTTGACAAAAGGGGGTTAGGTCGCTGGTTGGCAACGACGCTGTTTTGTATACATTGTTTACTTTTGTGGCCTGACACGTTGTAGGTTGAAAACGACATTTCTGCATTCACCTATGAGAAGACACTAATGATGGAGCAGAGGTCACAGATGCTGAAACAGATGCAGCTGTCGAAAAATGAGCGGGAGAGAGAGGTATGTGCACCGGGGAGAGGAAAATAGCTAGGGTAGCGCCATCTGGCCCCAGAGTGGGGAATCCGTGCTGATGATAGGGCCAGAGGACAACCCAGCAACACGTGGCTCTGGATTGACATAGTTCCATGGCATTTGGCATTGAGTGTTGAAGAAGAGCAAGCATGGCCCCTGGGCCTGTTAGCACAGTGTGTGACCCTGAAGGCTGGCATCTTTGTGATCATCTTACCTAGGAAAGGTACAGCGGTGAAGAACATGACATCCATGTCTTTTGAGGCTATGCCCATAGGTCTTTTGTTGTACGAACTCCAGAACCTTACCTGTGACTTTGCAGTAGCAGAGTGGGTGGAGGGAATGATTCTCAGTGGGGTCAGTGATAAGATGTGGTCACAGGGGCACAAGAACCCTCTGCCTCCTACCACTTTGTGACCTCAGTGTCCATGAAAACTGGCCATGGTTAGCACATGGATCACGTGACTAACAGCTAGGATCAGAGCGGTGATCACCCCCACATTCTTAGGAGAGTTGGGGGCATAGGAGGCAGGAGATAGGACCCAGATAGGATGCCCTCGGTATCTGTGGAAGAGTCTGTAGCATGGATGCCTGCCAGCTGGCTCCATCCAACACTGTCTGGGAAGACTTGGGGGCTTCGTTTCTGTCACTGTCCCTGTGGACTGCAGGAAGTCCCAGTGGTAACCTCTCTGTTCTGGCCTCAGCCAGGACAAAAAAATACTGGATTAAGTGGCATCTTTAACCTTGAGAATTCCTAAACTCAGATCAAGGAGGGTTTGGGGTAGGGGAATGACATTCAGGAGTCTGACTTCAGCGGAGATGTGCCTCCATGTGGGACAGAGCCACTAGCTTGTTTGAAGCAGCTCAGCAGGGTGGGTGGGAACCTTCGGTTGCACTGCTAGTGTGGTGGGTAACCAACAGACTCTTCTTCCCTGTGGAGGCTGTGAGGAAGTTAAGGCCACGGTGCGGTGAGGGCACTGAGGGACCGTGAAGTTCAGACATAGTTGAGTTAGCCCAAGGTCTCCATTGTGGAGCCCCCCCCCATGACCCCTGCTGAACAGACAGGACTGAATGGCAAAGGATGAGTAGAGTGACCCCAGTGGACTTTGATCCACCCTGGCTGGGGTTCTGCAGGGAAGCAGGCAGTGAGTCCTTGCCCACACTGGCTAAGGCTGTGAGGGTCAGGCAGGTGCAGTTCCTCACCCATCCGGACTCACTTGTCTGGGCCCTACAGAGAGGGTATGTGTCCTCATCAGCCAGTGACTCCTTCACATTGTCAAGTATGAAGAAGACAGTGGCCACCTCTTGTTGCAGGCTCCCCTTGTCATGTGGGGACATTTACAGTTCCTAGCTATGAGGGCCTTCCGTGTGGGGATTGCTATATCTTCAGCTTCATGTTGGCCCACTTAGCTTCCACGTGGGTGACTTTGTTTACTGGAGCAAGGTCTCTTAAGATTCTTTTATTCCCAGTGAAGTCCTAGAAGTCCCCTCTCTACTGTCTGAGCCTTAGCTGTGACTCTGAGACAGATACCATGTTTCATTTTGTCCCTGGCTGTTGATAGCCTGGATCCAGAGAATTAGTGATGACTGTCCTAGCCCAGACAAGAGGAAGAACTGTCCAGATCTCTGCCTCTGGCCTAGGGTTGCAGGTTGGTCTCAAAGAGATCTTTAAATAGTCACCCTGCTTCTTTGGTGCCTAAGCCACTGGATGGGGCTGTTAGGTAGGCACTCTGCTTGTTCATCCTCCCAGGCACTACCCTGGTATGACCCTCCAAAGCCTCTGTGAGCCTGGCAGGCTCTGCTTCCCTAGGGGAAGCCAGAGGGGTTGAAGCAAGCTCCTCCCTGAGATGGAAGCTACTATAGTGATACACCACGGTGTGTCTGCTGGTCAGGGTTGATGAATGATAGGTCAGGGGCTACACCATGTAAGGAGTCTCTGGCACCAGTGTTCCTGTAACTCAGCAGAGTCCTAGATCCTTTTTCTGCTTTTAAGGCAGGGGAGTGAGGTAAGGAGAGGTGGAGGGAACCGGAAGCCCATCTGGTAGTACAAGAGATAGGGAGACTGTTGTGAGGCGAGGCCAGCTCCGGGGCCCTCTGTAGAGCTGCTGTCCAGTGGTTGAGGGGTCCTAGCCTTACACACGAGTCCTCTTGGTTTATTGGTCTCGCTGGTCAGGTTCCCTCCAGGGTAGCTTTCAAGAGCCACCGTCTATTCCAAACATCTTCTGTTCCCTCTCCAGGCCCAGCTGATTCACGACAGGAACACAGCATCCCACACCACAGCAGCTGCTAGAACCCAAGCCCCACCAACGCCCGACAAAGTGCAGATGACGTGGACAAAAGAGAAGCTCATTGCAGAGAAACACAGGAACAAGGACACCAGTGCATCAGGCTTCAAAGACCTCTTCAGCCTCAAGCCGTGAGTGTCTGTGTGGGCTGGGCCAGTGCACAGAAAGGGCAGACCACAGGCGCACAGGCCTGCAGAGAACTGGGACCAGCCCAAGGCTATGCTATCAGCGCCAGTGAGTCAGGTCACAAGGGGACTCGGCTGGGAACTGTACTCTCCTACTGCTAATGACTTTCCTCTGCTTGGAGAGAGGGGTTTATTCCCCTTGGAAAGGTGGAGCTCCAGACCCCCAAAAGTCTAGGCCCCCATCATTTTGGCTGACTTGAGACCCTTAAGACTGAGGTCCTTGTGGCTGTCACAGTTGTGGGGAAGCCATTATAACAAGTTTAGTTAAGTGCCATTGGCATAGTCCCCAAGCCCGAAAGCAAGCCAGGGGCCCCTTTGACCGGCTCTTCATGGTGGGATGACTCTAAAGCTCCAAGTTCCTAGGGAGGGTAAGAGGGCTTTGGGGTCCTGTGAGGTGAGAATCCGTTGGCGTACCATGGTCAGCCATTTTACCAGCTTAGCATGGCCACCATTACTTGAATTAACTCAATCGTGTGGAATCCTCTGCTGGAGTAACCTGCTCTTTGTGTTCTCTTCCATGTAGAGAGTGGGGAAACCTGTAAGTGCACCTTCGTTTTTAGCCTTGTAGACTGAGTTGCCTTGCATGCCTGCGTGCGTGTGTACAGCCCTGTGCATGTAGAGCACTCTTTGACCTCACTGCCTCCTCTCAGAGCCGCTCAGGGCACACGCCCAGATGTCGTTCCCTAAGAGACGCCAAAGATAGTGCCGGAGGGCTGGTTCTGTGCTGCTCTGAAGGAGGCCAGGTGTGTGCTTCCTGCAGCAGTGAGCGGCTTCACCCACATCCCTCCAAATCTGCTCAGTTAAGACAAAATTGCTTCCTTAGCTCACCGTCCATCCAGGAGGCTCCCATTCCTTCCTCTCCAGCGAGAAGGGAATGTGGATCAGTTCTGTGTGATTAGACTACCTGTGTGTGAGCTCTTGGACTTGGACGTCAGGGCCAGGAGTCCGAGGCGGGGATCTGAGGGTCCAGCTGCCAAACCTATGGGTGGGAGCATTCTAGGAAGACATAGGCTGGGGTCGCTCTGGTCCTTTCACCTCTGTTGTCCCTGATCCCATCCTGCCTCACGTCAGTCATTCTGCGTTGTTGTCCCTGACAAGCAGGGAGTGTGCACAGTACTGGCAAGGAGCCCTTAGTTATATGACTGTACCTGATTTACTCAAACACTGAGGGAACCTTGAGAAGCTTGGCCAACTCGGGAAGCTGAGACACCCCAAGGCTTTTTGCTCTCTGGAAATCCAAAAGCCTCCTGCCCCCATAGTTTATTAAAACACATAATCACATAATAACAGGGTTTGATCCCACACGTCTTGTACACATGTGCCTTTACGTACATATAGATGCCTGCACACACGGAATCTGGGTGGGATAATTACTTACCTCTCAGGACCTAGGCTTGCCTTACTCAGCCAGGGTCAGGAAGAAGTTCTAGAGATCAGGCTAGACTTGGTTAGTCTAGCAAGGGAATGTGTTTTCTTTCACAATGTCCCTGGAACCTATACGTCTGTGGACGTGTGTTGGTTAGAATACACGTGTGTACCAGTTAGAAAATGTGTACACCTGCTAGAACACATGTGCACCAGTTAAATCTCATGCATGTGTTGCCAGTCAGATGAGCATGTGTGCTGGTCTGAGTACATTTGTGTTTGTGCACACACTGGTGTACCCACCTGCATGCGTGTGTTGGTATGCACCTCTTAGCGTCTGTAGACATTTGAGTGCATGTATTTTCTATTTTGGATGGTCTTGGGCAGCTCTCCTGACAGCGTGCCAAGAACATGTGACTTTACCTCCTGCTGCCAAGACTGCTGTGTAGACTTAACTCCCAGGTCTGGACACTATTTAGAAAGTTCATTTGAACAAGACATTCTACTGATTAAGTCTGCTGTGTTACTGGGAGCAGAGATGGGGTTCAGGTATCTTTTAGAACTCAAGGGCCTTTCCTGAACCCTCTGGTGTCTCTAGCTCAAATAGGTCAGACTCAGAACTGACACTCAGCTTCCATGTGGCTTCCATAGTCTCTCACCCCTGGGCTCTTGTATTTCATGCAGTTTGGGAACTGCTGTTGGACCAAACACACAGTAATTGTGCCCTTCCCATGCAGTGAATCCAGGGTTCCTGTAATGAGAGGCCTGGATGGTGCCACAGAGACTGGCCTCTAATTTTATCAAATTAAACTGAAGAGAGAAGATAAAGGGCCCATGACTGTTTTCTTCCTGGAAGAATAGCAGTTACAAGCTGATATATTTGGCTTAGAGTCGAGTTGATCAGTGGGTGTGATCCTGGACCTCTCTATGACCCTCAAATGGCAGCTTCATCTTGCCTGTCCCTGTATCTGAGGCAGAGATGCCTCTTCTCAGAAGGGCTGCAATCAAGACTGTATGGACAGATGAGCAGGCTGGCCACAGAGTCTGCCCTATGCTCTGAGCCCAGGGATGTGCCAGATGCCCCAAAACAGATAAAAATGCAGATTCATAGGGACAGGAAGTGCTCTGTGGCAGTTTCCCAAGGAAGCTTCCTAAACATCGGTTCTACATTCAGTTGATAAGAGTCCTCTAGAGAGGGGATGTAAGCCTCTGCGGTATCCTCAGACTTATGTGGCTGTGATCCCTAGCACCTGGGCCATTGAGTACAGAGTCCCATAAAGCAGCAGGGCACCATGGTGTAGGGATCAGTGATGCTCTGCTCGCTCCGGAGGTTACAGACAAGTATCCGAACCACACAGTGGTAGAAGCTTAGTTCTTAGTAGCAGCTTGGCAATATCGGCAGGAAAGAGGGGTGCCTGAGCCCAAACCCAGTTCTCTGCTAAATCCCAGCTGCAGCACAGACCCTGAGAGTCTGTGGGTGGTGATGTCGTGACTTTGGCAGACCTCCCTAGACCTCAGTGCTGTGTACTCAGTTCAACAGATGTGGGGTCAGGAAGATGCCAGGGATTCAGCAGTTGTAGCCCCTGCCCTAAGAGACAGGCCAGTTCCCACGTCTGCCCAGGCAGCCGCTGTGCCCCATACCCTGTCTCTGCCTGTACCGATGGCTGCTTCACAAGCGCAGCTTACTGAATGCGTTGTAGTTTACCTGCGTTACTTTACAGTCCCTAGAAGCTTAGCAGTTTAGCGATGCGCTGTTCTGAAGTATCTAGAGCCAAACGCTTTCTGCTGCTAAGTAAGTCGCCCCACACCTGACCTCAGATGATCTGCTGAGCCCTTCCTAGCGTACATGAACAAAATGGGAGGGCTAGGTAGGCTGCAAGCCTCAAGCCCACTGTGCTGCCCGCTGTACCACCCTTCTCCCAGGGACCAGTCCAACGTCAGGAGGATGCACACGGCTGTGAAGCTCAATGGTGTGGTCCTCAACAAGTCCCAGGATGCACAGCTGGTCCTGCTGAATATGCCAGGCCCTCCGAAAAATCGTCAGGGAGATGAGAACTGTATCCTTTCAAGTGTTTTCTGCTAGGGGGTGGGGATGGTGAACAGTATTACAGCTACAGCACTGTCAGACCTGGGTCCCCTTGTTCTCGGAGCCTCCGCTCCTGCGAGCTGGGGGACACAGTGAGAGGTCCCCCTGAGCCTGTCAGTACCAGAGCATGCTTTTTTTTGCCTGTTGTGTACTGTGCATTGCCCTAGGGACCTTGGAGATAGGACAGAGGAAGGCAAGTGCCACCAAGTCTGAGCAGACTAAAGGGCTGGGTCCTTCTAGCATTTTGGAGAAACAATGTTGCATCTCAGCTTCTGAGATGAGTGACGGGCCCTTTCTTGTGGTGCCAGGACTGAGCACCAGAATGCTAGTAAGCACTCCACCTGGGCCACAGTCCCATCCCAGGATGTGCCTTTGATTTACTTTGGCACCCAATGGGAGGCAGTGGCAAATCCATCTGGTGTGTCCCTGGTGATAGGCCTGGTTCATAGGACACAAACTGGGTTCCCCGAATGCCTAGCAAGTGCAGTCTTGCCCTAAGCCTTCCTAAATAGAACAGTAAACCCACACAGGAAAAACTGAGCCTACCCACTCTTAGTCTCAGTGGCCTCGTTCTCACAAGGAGAGCTGTCCTCAGAGACAGTGCTGAGTCTCCCTGCCTGGATGGGTGTCCTCTCAGCAGGCTCCCTGGGCTGTTCCCCCAAGTGGCATATAAAGGGGACAAGTGTTACAGCTTAGCCTGTTGGCCACAGCCTTGACAGTTTGTGCTTTGTGGGTGCCAAGGTATCTCCGGAGTCTTGTCAGGCAGCCACTTGGGACCACCATAGCAGATTAGGGAGATGTTTCCTCAGGTTTCTTGGTCAGACCACCCCACCCAACCACCAGGCTTCCCGTGACCCAGTTGTTGGTTTCAGGGGGATGGGGTTAGTAACCGGAAGCTCCAGGACTATCTCTGTTCTCTGGAGGTGGCAGTTTCCCTCCTGGTCTTTCCTGTCGCCACCCCCTCATCTCTTTTTAGAACTCCCTAGCCCATATTGGGGTCTGCCACTGACCTTGGTTTCTCGGGCTGTCTGTAGTGTGAACTGGAGTCCCTTGTGTGTCCAGTTGAGATTGGTACGGCCTTAACTATCACCACAGACATGGAGTTTCTTGAGGTCTTGACTGAAGGGCTGAACAGGGTCCTCCTGGTCAGGGGTGGCGGCCGGGAAGTCATCACCATCTACTCCTAACACCTGTAGCCTGGACACACCTGGATGGGGTCAGGACTATGCTTAGCAGCCTATGGCCAGGCTCGGGCCCACCAGCACGCCTCTGACCGGTGGCCACTGCCCTACCAAGATGTCGCGGTGATTCTGGTCACTCTGCCACACATGGCTTCCCACAGACATAACACCCGTAGCCCTCCTCCAAGCAGGAGATGCTCCAGGGGCAGTGCCTAGAGCTGTTCTGACAGGAGTGGCTCCTTGTGTCCTTGTGGGCAGTGGTAGGTCAGCTCTTCCCACTACAGGCAGGGCCTCGCCTCCAGATACTAGTATCACTTGTCTGTGGAAGACTGTCCAGTATTTTGTGGCAGTTACATTTCATTTCCACCCTGTCTAGAACATGTGAACGTACGCACAGTTCCCTGGGGCTAGAATGTCAGTGAGCTGTTCCCCATTGGCTTCTGCCACCTCTGTTTCTTGGAGTGTCCTTGCTGTGCTTTCTGTACTGTAAGCAAGCTGAGGCCTGTCCACTCTTCCTCCTCATTCCCTGCCCACACTCCTCAGGCACGGCTCAGGGTACCCCTGGAAAGTGAGACAGTGTTTACAGGGTGGGAGTGGGTCACCCTTTGGGTGGGTGGTGCCTGCCAGCTGTGTTCCCATCTGGGTTAATAATGCCCTAGGCGCTCCTGCAGAGCCAGGGATGTCTGCAGCCAGTCTGCTTCCTCTTCTCACGGGAACCCAGCCCCTCTATTTCCTAAGCACTGAGCTGGGAACCTCAAGCAGGTGACCACAGAGCCCCACAGTGTGACGAGCAAACAGCAGGAGCTCTGAGGAGTCTGCACACAGTCCATGACGACAGGAGCCTCCCAGAGTGTGAACCACGAGGGGGCGCAGCGCACCACTTTGCACGTATGACATGCCGTCCCACCCTCCTGGGGAGAGCACGCCCCGGCATCCGCAGCCATGGCCCTGGGTCTTTCTGGCCGAGTCTCTTGTCCCCTGCCGTGGATAGCCTCACTTAGCTGGGGCCACAGGCACCTCTGTACTTTCAAGAACCCGACATGATTTGCACTGTCCCCTTGTGCACTCTGCTCTGTAGGTCACGGTCTGTTCAAAGGCTGCGGGCAACAGCAGCCATCAGTCCCTCGTGTTCTGTATGGCATATTTATTTATTTAACCCTCTCTGGGGAAGCTTGGTAGAGATATCATCTGTGTGGATGCTCCATGCTGCCAGGCCCTGGGTCATCTCCGGCTTCCCCCCAAGAGAATCAATCCTGTCCGTATTCAGGAAGTCCCCGTGAGGGTAGAGGCCAAGAGTGCACCTGTACAGGTTCCTCAGACTTCGTTAGCCACTTGGAGGTCAGCTGGCCAGAGTAACCACTGCCAAGCTCGTGTCCCCATCAGTATAGTGGCTTCCACTCCGGATTTGACTCAGCTTTGACTTTGGTTCAGACCCTAAATAGCCAGAGCAGAGCAGGTGAGGTGCCTCTGCCAGCAGTTGGGAACGCCCTAGGTGGCAGGCCTTTCCAGGTTCTGGGTCACTGCTCACAAGAGCCCCCATCAGAGTGTCCTGCATCCTTTCTCTTGCAAACTCTGTGCTCCTGGTAACTGTGGCCATTTGAATCAGTTTCACATTTTCCTTTTTATAGGCTTTTGTCTTTGTATGACTTTGTTTTAGTAGAAGAGTAAAGTTCTACGAAATGTAAGTGTTTGAAGAACCTCATGTGTCTCGCTTACTGTAAAATTTAGTAATGGGAGAAGATGCACTGACTCATTTCTTTCCAGAGCTCCTCAGAGACCCATTGCGGGGCCAACTCGGGGTTAGGGTTGAGCCTCCTGCATCAGAGAGGCACTGCAAAAATACTAAAGGGAACTCTCCTGCCTGCTCGTTAGGGTTAATAACTGCAAGCTCAATACTGCCCATTGTAGGGACTCAACACAGAATTTGTCTAAGGATGAGAGCCCCAGAATCATCACAGTACAAGTGGAGCTATAATCTAAAAAATAAAATAGTAGAAGGGTGTTGTCATTGGGATACAGAACTGTGCACCCATGGGAATGGCATTAGGACTCCCCAAATTAAGTAGGGTTATTTTTGTGACCCAGGATGTATCTTGCTCCCTGGCATTCATCATGGCATTATCCATACCCAAGCATCCATGCAGAAGAACAGGAGGTTCTGACACGTGACAACATGCACAGACCTAGGAGACCCGTGTTAGAGACCAGCTGACACTCCACTGTCATAGACCAGGCTGTGCCGGTTCACACGGCGAAGGTGGATGCCAAAGCCAGCTGGGGATGACCAGGACTGCCTGCCTTCAGAACTTGTCTTGGTAGCAGGCAGCAGCAGAGTGTCTGTGAACCCTGGTCTGAGCCCTGGAGAGACAGAGCAGTCCTAGAGGTTTAAAGGATCATGGATCCTACATATGTCCGAATTTTCTAGGAAAAGGAAGTTAAGAGACCTTGATGTGTGAACAGAGTATATGGCCAGCTCAGGGCAGCAGAAACCCAGATCACATTGAGAAAGAGCATGTGACTAGAACCCAGAGTCAAAAGGTTTATCCTGAAAGTGATGGGGTGCCTGCTGAGAAAGGGGCTTCTTGGCAACACCTTTGTTGTTCCCTTGATGGTTTTTATTTGGGAATGTACAGATATCAGGATGTTCAGTTCTAAGAACACACAGCAACTTCAGCCTTCACTTAACACAACCCAGGCCTTTTTGTTTCCCTGACAATAGCCACCCTTTCCTGTCGCCAGGTGCCACCAACCCCCACGGAGACACCGTCCTGGTACCCGGCGCAGAGTAGACTAAATATCACACTGCGGTTTTACTTCTGGATGGTCATGGAGTCCCTGCGTCAACCCTGGCCAAGTTACTGCACCTCAGTAGACCCACCATCCCCAACTACATTTGCAGACACTAGTGACCTCATCCACAAGCAATCGGGGGTGGATGAGGGAGGCAGTCTCACTATGTATAGTTATCTAAACGAGCTGACTTTTGTTTTGGCTTTTCTTTTTTCATTTTGTTTACAAATGCTTTCCCATCTCTGTAAGCTTCATACATGTAGCCTACCCTCATACATGTAGCATAGCCTCATACATGTAGCCCAGCCTTGTACATGTAGCACTGCCACGGAGAACCCTGCTATCTAAGGCTTGGTCCTTAAGCTGGATGGAGTGGTATGGACTCCTCTGCTTAACATTCTCATAGTAGTGGGTGCTTGGCCTTTATCACGAGTTTATTAGGACTTCTACCTGCCCTGAATTTCTAAAACATAACGTTCTGACTTGCTTGGCAGGATCTCCCCACTTCTAGGTGTTCAGCTGAACCATGGCCCAAGGTGTCATTGGGATATCCTGTGTGATATCTCTCGGCCTGAATGCTGTATTCTGAGTAACCAGCTGGGTGGCCATGATGATTCCTGCTCAGTCCCTCTGCTGCGTGTGAGTGATGGAGCCGTACATGTGTACCATCTCCACATCCATGACGTAAGGGTGGCACACGCTAGTCTTTTGGTATTCAGGAGCATGTGTGTGATTTCTACCTGTGAAGTGACCAGCAGCAGTAGCCTTCTGAGGGCTCCTATGCATGTGAGACAGCTCACGGGAGACGTCACACTCAGATCTCCAGGAGTTCCATAGGGTTTAGTGTTTAAGGAGAGAGGATAAAGTGTTGCTTCTCAGCAGTCTGCATAAGCCGTGGCCATGGTGGATATGGTGCCAGTGTTCCTGTTAGCATGAGCTGAATTCTAGGTTTAGGGTTCTGATTTTCCTTAGACCAATCCAAATATATATCTTAGAAGAATTACTATGGAGTTGTGAACATCAACCAACATTAGCCAAGATGGTTCTACAGCACTCAGCCTTCATAACACGTACCTGTCATCTTCACCAGTAGCTACAAGGTATAGATAGACTGACCACAGCGCTCAGAAAAGTCTGTTTTAATACAAGGTATGGCATGTTACAGAATGCACTATTTCATATATGCTAAGAAGGCATAATGCCACCTGTACAAACTCAACGAGAGGTAAAAATTGCCTTTACAGGATCCTGTTCTGGTGGAGTCAAAAGACCATGGCTTGTTAAGGTTCCCACACCCTTGCAGCCCTCGTAGAAGGGACACTTAGGTGTCAGTTGGCTATGGTACAAGAATATGAGCACAGCCTAGGTGAGGGCCTCCAGCGTGGTAGCTGATCCTTCTCAACCTGTCTGTGTCTTCTCTGCATCTACCTGGGATGCTGGAAGCTCTGGAGACCAAGCCTTGTGCTGCCCGCTAAACATCACCCTGCCGCTCTGCTCACTCATGCCCCCTCCACATCTGCTGATACCCTGCCCTCTTTGTTTTCTTTGCTTGACATCATGTGGGAAACTAAGGTGCACTGAAGAACCACTTGGCAAGCCCAGCCTGCGGACTTTATAATGAATAAACCCCACAGAACGCTTCCATCTCCATTGGCTCCTGGCCTTGTGCCAGGAACAATGCAGGGCACCCAAAGGTCAAAGGGTACGAAGAGTGTCTAGGTGCAGTCTCTCGAACATCCCAGGAGCACGGTGTGCAGCAAAAGTAAGAGCTGATGCTTTTCTGTCCTCACATGCGGGCTGTCTGAATCACACAGGAGCACTTGTTACTGGGAGCCATCAGCTGCATCAAATGTGCTGGTATCCAAATGGCATGGAGATAGGAAGGCTTTGTCCATGAATATCCAGCCTGGTGCCATCTCGACATCTGCAGCTGGGTGTTGGGCCAGGGAATGCTGTACTCTCTTCTGGGCACATGCCAGTACCTGCTCTATGTCCCTGAGGGCATGTGGGCAGAGTACTTGTTTGGGTGCTAGGATGGGTGGAAGTGGTGGTGGTGGTGGTGGTGGTGGTGTTCATGGTGATGGTGGTGTTCATGCCTCTGGATCACAGGCACCATGTAGCCCTCGGGCCCCAGCATGGGAGGCAGGTCCCGAACCACTTCATGTTCCACCATGGTCGGCTGGCCATGTCCCTTGAGTGGCGAGTGGCCTTCTCTGCCCTTCTGACGGTACCGCTTGTGACCATAGGGCTGAGGTGGAGGCTGTGGTGGGGGCTGTGGAAGGTGGTGGCCATCCTGAGCACCCTGGGGCAGTGGGACAGCCTGTAGGCAATAGCTGAGTGTTTTCCCTGGCTTGCTGCTGCCTGTTGCCCCAAGAGGTTTTCCTGGACCCTTGGGTGACCTGAGGAACTGCTTCTCTTGCCCCTTGAGCCGGGGTTGTGCAGCCAGGACCCGGACAGCAGACTCATTAGTTGGTACGACATGGTCAGCCAGGACTTGGGACCTGCGGTGGTATACAGCATGGGCATCCGACTCCTGTGATCGGGACCTGCTTGGAATGTGTGTGGCCCTGCCATGATGATCTTGCCTGGCCTGCTCAGGTGGTGACCCTAAGGACAAGACACAGTGGTGGCCCAGAGTAAGGCTTGGGGCACAAGTCATACCTGCACTGTGGGTTTGCAACAGAAGTGACCTGCTAACTGGGTGGCCAGATGCCCCAAACTCAGTACCAGATCTATCTTACATTCCAGATGGGAGTCAGCCCCACATTAAGGATCCTGGATATCACTGTGTTACTCTTTAAAGAGGCTTGGCCACCCTGGCAACTTGCTGCCCAGTTCAGCTGGCCCTTTATTCCTGTTGTGGGTCCTATTAGTAGAGATTCTCTACTGGCATAGTCAGGGCTCTGTCTAGGACATGAGGGGACATCAGAAAGTTGTGTCCTATTAAGAAACACTCCAGTGAAGGACCAGAATTAATTCATTGATATGCCCCCCTTCCCTCTCTCCATAACACACCCAGAGGGAAAGAGGAGGAAGAGAGGAGAGAGAGAGAACAGACTTCCAGAATAACCTGGTTGCAGCTTCATGAAATACTTGACCCTTAAGGTTGGCCCTGCTCAGTGCCCTCAGTACAGGGGGGCCTACTTGTGGTCAAACTCCCCAGTAAACTCTTTGGATCCCCGTCTACCTCTTCAGATGCCCCTATCAGAGGACTGGAGCTCTAGAACTAAGCACACAGAGCCAGCCCCTCCCAGGTGAGGATCAGCTCCAACCAGGGACCTCTAGCCCAGGTTATCTGGAACAGATTGGAGGGACTTATCAGAGATACTGTCACAAGTGGACCCCAGAAATGCCTAGTGGGAATGGGTGCTAGTGGGGGACTTGCCAGGCTGCAGCTCATGAATCTAAAGGCTACAGGATGCACAGCATCAGAAAGGAACATTGAGTAGAGCAGTACAAGTGTCTACAGTACTGGCTGTCCGCCTCTTATACACAAGCTGGCAATCCTGGAAGGCTCCGGAGCTTTCCAATCCTGGAAAACTCCATTTTCCCTAAGCCAAGGCATGCCTCATATACACACACCTGGATGTTTAACCACCTTGCTTTCCAGGTCCCTGCCAGTGGCTGGAGGGTAAGTGTGAGTTCACATCTACGCAAAGGATGATGGGATGCCCAGGCGGGGTGTGGACACCTGAGACCCGGCACTGTTGGAATTCCAGAGCCTACCCCTGCCTGCCTGCACCTCTAGGGAGGAATCTACACCAAGAGGGCAGGTCCGAGGTGGGGTCCTCTAATACCTACCAGGACCAAACTTAGATGTGTAGTTCTCGATGCCTGCAAGGTCCAGGTAGTGGTTCCTGCGCTCTGTGTTCTCATCCACACAGTAGGGTACTCGTACAGAGCAGGGCTGGGCATCAGCATTGGGCTTCCTGTGTGGAGTAGAGAGGACAGGCCTGAGCTTCAGACGTGTGGCAGGAGTGCCTGTGGAGGTGGATGGTTGTCTAGGAGAGGAAGTGGGGACTTTGACTAGTGCCCACGTCTAAAGAAGGCAGAAGGGAAGCCGTTGGGTTATATATGTTGTCCAGAGAATTAAGGTTCACAGCTCATTATGGCAGCCTACCAGGACCCAGGATCCCCCCCAGGCACCTCACTGGGGCCACAATGGCCCCTGCTTGCTTCCTTTTGCATAGCATGGTGCTCAACCTCACCCAGGTATATCACCCTTCACAGCACACAGTGCCTACCTATTTCCCCACGCTTCCTGACAGGAACCCCGGGGAGGCCTGCAGGATGCAACCACCTGACCCCACACTTCACCTGCTGTAGGTAGACAGCCTTCTATCAGCCGCTCGGGGGTCCTCTGTGAGCTCACTCTCTGTTCTGCCACGAGTGGACTCCCGGTCTAAAAGAAAGGTGTTCTTTTTGCCTCACAGTGCATCCATTTGCTCATGCCCTACGTACCTGCTGATCCTTGCTTTGACTCAGACATCCTTCTGCCTGTCCTTCACCCACTCATTCTCCATGTCGTATGAATCCGTCCATCCACTCATTCTGTTTTATTGTCATATTTTATGACACGCAGTCACGCCATGACCAATGCTGGCCTTGAACATTTAACCCTGTTGCACCCCAAGTGCTTGGGATGGAGGTCTACACTACTCTGCCCTTTGTTAATGAATTACTTTTCTTGCTCATCCATCCACTCACTGAGCACACAGTTTTGTCCACTGCCAGGTACCAGGTCCTGCTTGGAACATTGTGGAAACAAAATTTTTGAGTGAAAGCAGTTAGGGGACATGAACAAGGCTGATATCCAGGGGTCAGTGGTGGAGAGGTAAGTGCTCCGGGGAAGAGCAAGTGTGAAGCATAAATCAGGTGGTTGGTTGTAGGAGCAGCCCACCCTGTACAGGCCTGTCTGAGGGGCAGTGCTCATAGAGACAGTGACATCTGAACAGGAAGGCTCCTGGCATAGACCCCTCACCTTGGCCAGTAGGACATTCCTTCCTCTTGCTGGAGGGCTCAGGGCTGACAGTTAGCTTCACTCGCAGGGTCTTGCTGCTGCCCGAGGAATGATTGACAGAGGTGTCAACAACCTCATAGATGGTGTGCATCAAGCTGGACATGTCCTGGGACCAACATGACAGATTTCAAGAGACCTTCTTTACTAAGCAAGCATGTATTCACCACCTAGCTACAGCAGGCACCTTGGGTCCACTTACTCTCCATCAGAGACTGCCTTACCTTATGCCCAGAATTGCCCCCAAGATGTCATGCCTGGCTTAAAGGTAGCCCTGCTCTCTGTCTCTAAAGCCATATCTTTTACATTCCAAAATTAGGTAAACAAGCAAGTAAGCTTTCCAGCATGAATGTCACATCCAGATGCTTCCTCTGTCTCTCCTGGACACAGCTCAATGGAGCAGGGACACTCCAAGAACTCAGGCTGCCCTGTGAAGGGTTGTTCACCAAGGCTTGGTCTAGGGACATCACAGCTATAGAGAAAGGCCATGCTGGACTTGATAAGGAGATGTGTAGACTTCAGAGAAAAGAGATACCAGCTAGGAGAGGCTATAAAAGTGGGTCTCCTATCCGCTTCCCCTTCTATCTCAGGAAAGTTCTAGTCTTTTCCTCCCAAGACTCATTCTGTCTCTCTGACAACTCAGACATCTGTCTACTGAACCAGACTGGTTCTGCATCTCAAGAGGCCGCACCCTGACCTGAGCCCTCATCTTATGGGTGGTTTGATGCATGTGGGCACACTACCTCTCTGGTGACTTTCCCACTGTTGTCAAAGTCGTACAGTGTGAATGTCCACTCCTGGCGGTTGTCTTCTTCCACAGAGACATCACACTGGAGGGCCTGTAGGTGGTACACCGGGATAGGAAACTAGGAAGCCAGCTGTGGGTCTTCCTAGTTTCCAGCCAGGACAAAGAAGCTGAAGGGCAGTTGGCTTGCAACCCTCAACCCCTGTCCTTGCCCAGCTCCACCCCCCACCCCAGTGATGTACTAACTATGCCTTATGACTCCATTTCTCCCTGGTGGTATCTGTCCCTGTGCATACAGATACAGAGGACCACTTTTGAGTAAGAGGAATTAGAACCAAGTGTTCTTGCTCCCTTGCCTGTGGGGTAGGAGATCCCACTGTTATTCCCCGTCCAGTAGTGCTGGATGCCATGACATATGGAGACCCATCTGCCCAGCATGGCCAGGTCCACAGCAATACCATGCAGCCCACCAGAGCGGCACATTTTAGTCCTGCTTTAAGGTCTCAGGGAGGCTAAGGAGACCCCAGGGCTGGAATGTCCATGGTCCCCATTTAGGGCCATCACTATTCATCCTGGCTCCTAGAGACCCCTTCTGTAGGGAGAGGACTTACATCAATGTTCAAGTGCTTCTTGTTGACTCTTAACGGGCCCTCATGGGTGGCTGCCTTCTCCCCATCATCCATGCTGAAGAGCTGGCCCTGGCCCTCATGGCCCTCAGACTTCTCAGGGGGCAGCACAACTAAGGGAACAAGAGGAGGTGAGGCAGAGGCTTCTTCCATGTGAGTAGCATGAGGTCAGGGGAAATGGGTTGACTTTATCTGCTCTCTTCTGTTCTGCAAGGCCCTGAGCTAAGGATGCTCTTGTAGAATAGGAAAGTAGAGAGAGGCCTCACCTGGGTTAGCCTCAACCTGGTAAGCCCTTGCTGCACATGTATCCCATAGTGGCCCCCAGTGAGCAATCTGTCTCCTCTAGGCTAACACTAAAGATGGGGTAGCAGAAGGATCTTCAAGATTGTAAGAGTGATCTCCAATGCAGAGTCCACACCAGACTTTTCTCCCCATTCTCGTGGTCATTTTCCAACACCTTCAATTCGGAACCCACTTATAAGGACACGTGGGCTATCTGATGGCCAAGTGGTCTTGTCTCCCCTGACTCCCTGTATGCTAGTTTCCCATAGTCCTGGGTCTCAAGCTGTTTGCTCAGGAGAGAGGCCCAGGGCCATCAGTCAGGTGTCTGTCCAGGTTTGAGCTAAGAGGATACAGGGCTTGACTTTTAGCAGGCAGATCTGGGAGCCCCTCTGGGCTTCAGCTGCTGTCTGAAGGTGGGTCTGTGGGCGGGTCCTTTGCACCTACTAGCAGACTGGACGAACTTACCACATTTCTGTGTGGGGTGACTCTACCAAAGATGCACACATGATAGTGACTCAGATGGGGTTCGTATGACCATAAGGCTCAGCAGAGGAAGACAAGTCACAAGTGGCATGTTTAGTTAATACAGTGTGGAGTGGCGGACAAGTCCTAATCATGTTAGCTCAGAATTCAAGAGCACCATCCCATGAAGCCCAGCCTCCCTGTTCAGTCCTAAAACTACAAACACTAAGTGAACAAGTGTGTGGGGATACTGTGGTTCAACATTTTGCTGCTTCCACTGATCCGAGATTCCTGCCTGGTAGAGTAGGAACCAACTGATCCTGGCTCTTGTATGCCAGTATTGAGGGTTCTGTGGTGTGAGCCCTAAGGTCAGGGTGAAGTCTGGAGCATTTGCTATAGTTGGATTCACCTTCTAGAGAGCCTGTGTCCTCCCAGAAAGGCCCCTCCTTGGGATCCCCATTGGGCAGCTCCTGCAAAAGAACAGGGCAACATGACCATGAGGCTCAGTCAAGGAAGACAACAGATTGGAGCTCTTGAGGCTGAGACCTGAATAGACGCCAGCATCAGACCTGGGAAGTCCTCTCAATCTGTAGGCCCCCATACACCATCCCAGCTTCATACAACAGAACATACAAGGACCATGTGCTGGAGTCTTTTCCAGAACTGAGCCTCATTGTCTGCGAGCAAAGCCCACTTTCCAAAGTGAGACTTGGGACCTCCCTGTAGCTCAGCCCTAACATAGCCAGCTCCCAAATATAAGGCTTGAGACCAAGAACCCTACCTGGCATTAACACTGCCCCTATGGTACACCCATGGAATCAACTCAGGATGGCATTCACTGGAGCTGCAGAGGGGCCACTGTCTCCTCCAGTCCTGGACTGAGGAGCAAGGTTGGCTGCCAAGAAACTCCCTTGGCCCACAGCAGATCTCAAGACCAGTTATGGAAAAATGGGAAGGACTTCAAACACATCCAAGCGATGTTTAAGCCAAGAAAACTGCAGAACAAAAGCTCACATGGTTCTTGTAAATAATCCACAGAAGCAAAGGCTACAAGAAAGGAAATATAAAATGTTCCATGGAAGCCATCTGTAATCAAAGGACCCTTCGTGGTGGGGGAACTCGCAGCCCCCAGCCCCGCTCTCAGGGCCCCCAGGAGCATTTCCCACCAGTTTCCTGGCATTTATGTTTGACTCCAGGTGGCTTCAAAGCTTTGAGAGGCCTCAAGTAGATGGAAAGCTGAGCTAAGACCCATCCAATCAGCCAGATGACAATGTCCCTAGGGGTAACATGGGCCAAAGGATGCTTTTGGTTTGTAGCTGGAAGCAGAAGAAAGACAAGGTTCCCCAATTTTATGAAAACTGAGTATTCCAGGTACAGTTTTGCACATTCTTACTCTGTCAGTGACCACAGGAACCAAGAAATACCTCTCACCCTATTCCTCACTGTGGCAAATGTGGGATGCCTGGCAGGCTGCCTAGCACCACCTTGTGGGTTCTGCAGGACACAGGTCTCAAACTGGCAGAGCATATGTAAAAACCTGATGCCTTGTGATGGAGTGGGGAGAGCATTCTGCCTCTAGTAGCAAACGACAATAGCCATGAAAAGGCCCAAGCCTGAGTAAACAGGCTGACTGTGGTGCAGAATGTGTGGAAGAGGAATACCAGAAACGCTCAGGTGCGAGGGCCAGAAATGGGAGAACAGCTGTATTCTGGGTACCAGCTATGCGAGGTTGGTGAGGACAAACCCAGTGCTGGGCTCCTGAACCCCAGAGTGCAGCAGGGGGAAGAGGGAGGAGCTCCTCCCTAGGTTTTTTTTTTTTTTGGGGGGCTGTGCAACTGATTTTGGGAAACACAGCATTTCAGGGGCCCTCATGACAGGAGATCAAAATGGTCAAGGGTGAATGACTAGGACCAGGAAGTAGAGAAGACCCTGCTCATATCTGCATCTCATAAATACCTCAATCATCTCTCTCTGGACCTCCCAACTCATGGGAACCATTAGGGAGAGGCTCCCTATATAGCTTATTCTTAGGATGTCATTTAGGGGATTACACTGGAGATCGTCTTAATGGGAAAACATAATTATTAAAAAGTCCCCTTTCTAGCTGTGTGTGGTAGCATTCACCCGTAATCCCACCACTTGGGAGACAGAGACAGAGGCAGAGGTTCTCTGAGTTTGAGGCCAGCATGCCCTACTTAGCAAGTCTCAGGACAGCCGGGAGTACCTTCTTAAAAAGGTGTAGGCATCCTCATTCATTCACTGACCGAATAGCCACAGACTCAAGGCTCAGAAGATCTGATTTTACTGAAGTGCAAGGAGTTTTACAGTGCACAGTGCCATGTCCTTCTGAGACTGGAGACCCAAGCCTAGAGGGACTAGGGCCAGTTCACCCCATGTGACATAAGATGAAATCATAGCAACTTGTAAAGCTTTAGTTCCAGCTCTCTGTGAGGCAGAGAATCTAAGGACATGGACCTCCCAGACTCAGCTTTATCCTGGACAGATCCAGGGTCCTCTGTCTGACTACAAATCCCGGGGTTGTAGATTACTGCTGGAAAAATGCAGTTATGCAGGGAAACCCAAGCTGGCTGATGCCAGGGAGAGGGTTGGAGACTCGAGCCACCGTTAAATGATGGGGGCAAGGGCAGGTGGAGCAAACGCCAAGATGGGCATCTCCTGATCACCTGCACCTGCTTCCAGGACGGGCCTATAAAGTGGTACAAGTGAGAGAGAGGATCCCCAAGATTCTCAGTCCCTTCCCCCATGGAACTCCAGGGCCATTCGCTCTTGGTCACAGCTTGAATCCTTCAACAGATAAATCTCATCTGAGAAATAGGTGGGTACAGCACCCCAAGGTAGAGATACAGCTGAAGGCTAGAGCCTAGGGTTACTAGTCTCTGATTTACTATAACAGCATACCATTCTTTATCCTGTGTGTCAGGCTGGAACCACTAGCTTTCATGAATACCTTCCATTTATTTTAAAAAAAATTTTGAGTGCCAGGCTGTGGAGCTTTGCATGGACTTTAAAAGTACAGGTAGATGGAGAAACAAGGAGATTGAATTTAGAGAGCTGGGATGGGTCTAGTGGAAGACAGCTTGCGTGGGATGCACCGCTCTAGGTACAAAGCCCAGCACAGCAAGGAAAAGAAAAAATAAGATACAAGAAAAAAGATCCTACACAAATTCTAGGCTGGTCTCCTGGGACATTCCTGAGGCTACAATAATAGGACAGGGCTGCTATAATTGACTAAGGCCACACCGTGTGGGCAGGGCCACTGCAGCAGGCTGTCAGCATACACCAAACCCCAGAACATAGAGGATTTTAAGCACTAGCCCAGGGGTGGCTGCAGAGGCCCTGGATCAAAGAAGAAAATGAATGTTTGTGGGGTAATTCTGGCCTCTGCCTGGTGATTTAAGTCAAATCTGTCCTGCCTACATAGAAATGCCCTTTAATCTGAGCTGCTTTAGTTAAATAGAAGAGCCAAGGGCTTTAATTACATCATATAAAACCTGTGCCGGGCCATTGGCCAGAAATGGAGCCCCCTCCCCAATACAGCCAAGTCAGAGGCAGACAATACCCACCCCTGTTGTGAGGAGTCTGGGGACCTGAGAATGACATTCACTTCGGTTCCTCTTCCAGACCCTCCTTGCTTTGGCCTCTGAAGCCATTCCTCTCAGGTCCAGTGTTACATCTCTTTAAACTCTAGTTGCTAGACACCGATGTCTGGCCCTGTCCAGGTCAGTATGGACCCCAAATACCTGATGAAACTCCAGTTTAGCATTCTGCACATCTCTTCAGTGTCTGACCCAGTACCCACTCTATCCCAGGCCCTGCTGGCTGCCCTTAAAACATCACCATCTTATGCTCCAGTCTCTGATGGGTGCTCTCCTAGCCACTGGAGACCAGTGAGGTGATGGTGGGGCCCATGGCACAGTGGGAACATGGCCCATAAATAAGGTGGAAAGCATCTATGTTGTGTTCGGGATTAACTTGCCCTGATGGCTACATTAATAGTCCACATCCTACAAAAACCTGTTTATTCACACCCAAAATGAGGGGCTCACAGTTCTCCACAACCCTGCCTTGTTCCATCATCCCAATTCAGGAGGTAAGAGGCCCAGGGCTGGTTCAGGTCACAAGTCTATAAGCATTCCCTATAATTGCCGCTTGGTGGCAGCAGCGAGTGGGGGACGTTTTCAAACAAACCCAGAGTCCTAGTTCCCTAAGTCAGCACACAGCAGAATCAGATGGTGGCACACACCTGTCCTTGAAAGAGGGTCATGCTCCTGGATCATATCACCTACTAGAACCTGCAGGGCCTCAGTGTCTTCCAAATGCCCACTCTGAGGCAGCTCTGAGAATAAGTACAGAGCAGATGGGCCTCGGGATAACTGTGTGCTGGCTTCTCACTGCCCGAAGTGTCCCCCAGACTCGGACACACGAGAACACTGTCTTCACCTGGGCCTCGTGCGAGGGTCAGGTGAGTGTAGCTGTCAGTCACCAATCACCTGACTCTTCAGGGTATACCACTGGGCTGCTGGAGGCAAACTGGCACCAAGAGATAAGGTTTCTTTAAACCTGTCTCAGAGTTTCTAGAAACCAAGCTTCTCCATATCATCCTCTTTCCAGAAGAGAGAAGGGGCAACTGCTAGACGTCTGGGCTCCCAAAGCAGATGTGTGAAAGCCAGACATGCTGGTGGACACATGCAGGTTCTTTCAAAGAGGCCAGAACTCTCCTTAGGCTCCTCTATAGGATTCCTTTTTAATGGGTTGTTAAGAAAGGGCCTCTGTGGGCTGGACAGTATCTAACTGCTGGCCTTCCTGTCTCCACTTCCCAAGTGCTGGAATTAGAGGCATGCATCACCACACCCAGCTTCTGAGAATTTTCTTTCTCTAGGGGGCAAATATTTGCTCCTGTCTAGAAAACTATCTGGGTGACTAGTCCAAGAGATAAGACCACATCTTCCTTCCTGAAGCCAGGTCAGAAGAATCCGGGCTCAGGTAGAGCAATAAGTCATGCCTCTAGTGGAGGGATGGACAGTGACAGCTCCTATAGAATCCTATTCTCTGTGACTAAGTCCACATCTCCGCTTGGCCCACAACCCTTATGCTTGTGGAAGCACTGGCCCCACCTATCAGTTTCAAGGTTGATGTTGTGTGCCCCCTCAAACAGAGACTAGGATGAATGGCCAGACCTTGCCAAATGTCTTAGAGATGGGGTGAGGTTGTGGGGAGGGACAGGTGAGAGACAGATAGTCAGATTAAAAAAAAAAAAATACAGAGGCAAAACCAGGCAGGGTCGGGGAGAGAAACAAGTGGGGATTTAGTGGTACTCGAGAGGAGACAGAAGGTGAGGCCACTGTACAGAGCTGTGCCCAACAGGACAGCTGGCACCACAGGGCCTCTGTGAAGGGTGTGTGGTCTAGAACACATGGTTGCCAAGTACTAGGATAGGTTTTTATTTGTT